ACAAACGCCAGTCTCCCTTCTCTGCAGAATGCGATACATCCGCTCAACCAATCACAGCGCACCATTCCACGCATTGTAAACAGTAACTGACAAGCTACGCAATATTGCGTTCATAATCGCAGATGAATTGCCTTCGATTATGAATGCAATTTTGCATAGTTTGTCAGTGATCTACGGCTCTGTGTATTAAATGCCGCTCCATCTGAAAGCGCGTGATGGAGATTTACTACTAATCACAGAACCGCGATCAAGATGCGCATGACAATCGCATGCGATTTATGGTGCAGCCCTAAAAAAATGAATAATTTTGATGGCATTGATGAACCTGTGGTGGTTTCTGCGGTGGGGAAGAAACGTAAGCTATTAATAAGATTAGTATTGACCAAGTTCAGAGGCTGTCATATGTGGATCAACTTTGTTGTGTATTTTCAACAGTTTCAATATGAAAAATAACTTTTATATTGATTCAACAATTTATTGCATTTTGGGAAAAAATAATCAGTTTTTATAATAAATCTTTGTAAATCAAAATCTGGATTTGATTTTTTTAATGTTATTATAACCTAAATATGCTATGTGAAAGTTTGAAACAGAAAATAGTGGTTTTCATCTTGCCACTTTCTTGGTAAAGAAAACACATTTTTACTCAAATTAATCAAAATGGATTTATAGCATTTTGGAACCAAACTCTTCATTTACACTTAATAAGTTAATAAGAGTAAATTAAGAACAACTGCAAATTAAGAAATTAAGAAGAACTGGACGTGAACTGGAACAAAAAAAAATCAAAGTGATTTTTAGTGATTATGTAAACTGGATTGGTCACACTTTATTTTAAGGTCCAGCTCCCATGCATGATTAACCGCTGCGGAGCAACACGTACCTGCGTGAATTGCCATAGACATAAATTTAGAGAAGTAGCTCCGGTTGGAATGTTCTTCCGCGGGATGTGTGCAGTTCTGTTTATTAACCGCTAGAGCGCCAAAAGTTACATAGTGCTGCTTTAACTACAACTTTTGCTTCAATGAACTCCTAATTTGCTGCCTATTTGCTTATTAATAATTAGTAAGGTAGTTGTTATGTTTAGGTGTGGGGCAGTATTAAGGGATCTAAAATATGGTAATGCAGAACAAGGCATTAATATGTGCTAATTAACAACCAACATGATAGTAATATGCATGCTAGTTAATAGTGAGAATTGGTCCTTAAAATGAAATGTTACCACTAGATTCTTGCATTTTCTGAAGGAAATGTGAGCAGTGATTGGCCATTTAAAACTTTTGCCAGGATGCTAGGGAGTTTTGAGTGTCAGCGTGTTGCTATGCATTTTTTTTTGTTTTTTTTTACCACATGCTAAGGTGTTCTGTGGGGTTTCTGAACAAAAGAGGCCACCTCAAAGTGTCTGTGACAGTCTCTGGTATCAAGATACAGCTCATATTCCTGCTTCAGTGTAAGCCTATAAGATTGTATATTTGTCTTACAGGTGAAAATCATAAATCTGGTTACTAAATCTCTTTATTCAACAATAAGCACAATTTGAGGTTTTATTTCTCGTCTGTAGCGCTAACGATACAGGATTAAATACACAAGATTTCATACCTGGGGTTAAGAATTTGTTCAAATCCATAACCCTAAGAATGAGCAACAGTAATAGCGATGCTTACCTTAGCAAACAACACTAATGCATTGTTATGTGCATGCACTAGTCATGCAATCAACACGCATTTATTTTGTGACATTTTAAGAAGTCCAATTACAATTTAAGCCCCAGCTGTTTGCATCTGTTCCTTTCATTAACAACTTACTCATCATGGTGCGTAAACACATTATAAATTAAGCTGCCTCTGATTAGAATATTTACATTTGCTCTCTGACCTCGAATTAGTTAAAGCATTTTTCACCGAAGACTTAATCACCGTGATACTGTTTACACAGCCTGTCCCAGCGGTGGAAACCGGGCCACGATCAGAACTGACTAAGCAGTGGATGGCGTCTTATGCACGCATGCTAAATCCAGAGGATTACGCTTGGATCAGTGGAGAAATAAACGAGACGTGGTATAGAGAACGGCCAGATTTCAGACATATTAGCTACCCTAATGAATTTGTTTCATTAGCTCACAATGGATGCTGTTTGGTAATTAACACAGTGATCTTTTCGTGAAATCCCAAGAGCGGAATTTGGAATTCAACTGTGCTTTTTTGTGGGGTCTTCTTAAAGGAATAGTTCAGCCTAAATTGGAAATGTTATCATCAATTATTCACTTTCATGTGATTTTCTTTTTTCCTTGAACTTTCTTTCTTCACAAAAGATGACAGACAGAGCTTCCTTTTTCCCATACAATGAAAGTGGATGCTGATTTATCCAGCCAAGCTCCAAAATGGACAAAAAAGTATGTGCGTCTCATTGTGTTTGTGTAAAAGCATTCTTACTCTTGCAGGTAGACTTCTCCTCCAGCCATTCCCATGTTGCATTAGCTAAGCATGTGATGGTCCTCCTGCCCATCAGATAGTAGCCCGGGGAGCAGCTCAGCATTATTCGTGCGCCGAACTCATTCAGCGAGCCCGAGATGAGACGCCACACCATGTGTTCTGAGAGCATGCTCTCAATGTTAGGGCACTGAACCGCTGCAGGACAGAAGGCAAAGTATGAATTAATGGAAAACCATGACCTTGTGGGTCCTAGAACTGGAATAACTAGAGCTTACAGGAGGAATTATGGGATAGATATACAATACCAGTGAAAAGTTAGGACACACTTGACTGAATGCATGCTTCTCAAAGGCTGCTTTACGTGCTTGAAATTACATTGCACTAAAACATAACACTTTCATTATTAAATCATTGACAACAATTATATAATGCTTAACAGATCATTAGTTAAAATTTGCACAGCTAGAAATATGAGATAACGTGCTTGTTAGAGTTCACAAATGTACTAATTATCAGATCATCATTTCATGTAAATTGAAATGGTTATAAACACCATTCAACTTTTAATTCATATGATCGGGCACTTTTTTAGAAATATTCAAATGATTTTGACAAATGAGTAAAAACGTCATTAATTAATCATTAACAAACATTATATAATGCTTAACGGATCTTTAGTTAAAATGTCATTAAACGTTACGCTCATGTACTTTCTACAAATCTACACAGAATTATACAATGATTATACAATAATCCTCAACGGCATTTAATCATTGTATAACATCTGTTAAAATCATTTGTAGAAAGTACATGAGCCTAAAGTTTAAAGACATCTGTAAGCAATTTAATTTACATGAATTAAAGATCTGTTAATCATTAGGTAATGTTTAATAAGTTTATTAGTAAACATTAATTAAGTAAATTATCTCATGTTTGTAGCTTTTTGAATATGTGATCTGTTAAGCATTATATAATATTTGAAAATTATCATAAAGTGTTACCAAATGTCAATTTTCTACATTTAAAATGAATGAGTAGCCAACAAGCGTCCAGAATATGCGATTTAAAAACCATCCCATAAGCTGTGTCCAAATTGTCAATTTTCAATTTTTGTCATCGAGGTGGTTTGTATTTTTGGATAAAATTACACATTTCACATTCGCCGTTGTTCTATAAACTCACACCATTGGTTGAGAATCTTGGACTGACTTTAAACAAAGAGAGCAATGTTTGAAAGAGTTTTCACTCTTTCGTTTCATTTCGTTAGCACATTCAAGATTGGAAAATGTGGTTGATTTGTCTTGTGTGTTATAAAGGTGCATATAAAGGTGGTTGAAAACTGAAGTGGTTTCAGAGTAACAATATTGCAGCCAGCACGGAACAGATGGTCCTTTGATTGAACAGCACAGTGCATAGCTCGGATTCAAAAGAAGCATAATTTGGTGCGGGCGCATCAAATTTTGAGGAAAAAAAAAAGGCTCGCAAGCTAGGTCAGGTATACTAAACAAGATCTTAAGTAGACCAAAACATCTTTCCCTCCCCCTCCCGTTATCTCTCACATAATGTTCTCTCCCCATGTTCTACATGACAAAGGTTTCACGTCCCTCAGCTCGCACTTGCTTAGATGATTACAAACATCTCGAGTGCTGTAGCACACAGCTAGTCTCAGACACCGTGGATGTGTCATACTATCATCCGAAAGCTCTAGAATGAAAGAACACCTTGACATAGTGTTACGGAGCAGGGCAGGGCTCCTTTCCGTCGATGATGAGGAATATCATAATATTAAATGACATTATCTGTAGCAACATCGGCTGTAATGAGCGTCTTTCTTGCCGTGACCTCTGAATGCATAATACACGGTTATTTGGCTGTGGGCTCTTTAGTCGGCTTTGTAGGCTAATGGTAATTCAGGTCAGAGGGGGGACATGCCACATCATACCATTTGTCTTGTTTGAGTTGCCAAACCACAAAAAATCAAGTCATTATTGTTAATTTTGCCAATTACCGTCCCTACATTACTCTCAGAGGGGGAACCGAGCGAGAAAGCGGCGGTTCAATGAGGCGGTAGATTTTAACATGCTGTTGGCATAGAAACAGAGGGCTTGATTTGCTCACGTAAACAGCGGGTAGGATGTGCCACGTTGCTCCAGGTGCCATCCTCCAGGCAGACGGCGGTGAGCAGGCTGCTCGCGTCAGGCTTATAGCCCTCCTCGCATTGGTACTGCACCTCACTGCCCACTGTGTATTGGAAGCCGTGGAACGACCCATTAGCAGGAGACTCTGGTGCTCCGCAAGACACAGCTGCCAATCAGACACAAACAGCAGTACAGGTGTATACGTGCTATACAGCGCATCTATAAATAGAACTCTCATTCTGTTCAAACTCATGCAACACCTCCTGACTTGACTTTTTAGAAAAAGCGCAACATGAGCAGCAACACAGGAAGCCTCAACAAAAACATTTTCTTCAAAACTAATGCTAAATAAATTTGAACAGGTGATTTACATAATTTTTCATTTAAAGTAAACGATATATTGTGTTTTTTTTATCTCCTTTTTTGCTTTTGCTATACATTTTGTGTTTTTTAATGTGGAAGTGTGAATTATGGACTATGATAAAACTAAATACTTGATTTTCATAATGATAATAATAAATAAGCATAGTAGATTTAAAAGTTTAAATAAGTAAAATAAGCTAAATATATTTACCTTTTTTATTCATTATTTTGAATATTGAATGCACTATCAACATTTAACATACTGGATTAATTTTACATTTCCATGCATTATGTGCACAATGTTTCTGATATGTTTCTAGATTCTATGCATATATAGAAATACAACCATATATGTGACCCTGGACCACAAAACCAGTCTTAAGTGTCAAATTTTCAAAATTGAGATTGATACATAATCGGAAAGCTGAATAAATAAGCTTCCCATTGATGTATGGTTTGTTAGGATAGGACAATATTTGGCTAAGATATAACTATGTGAAAATTTGGAAACTGAGGGTGCAAAAAAATCAAAATACTGCGAAAATCGCCTTTAAAGTTGTTCAAATGAAGTTCTTAGCAATGCATATTACTAATAAAAAATTAAGTTTTTATATATTTATGGCAGGAAATTTACTAAATATCTTCATGGAACATGATCTTTACTTAGTATACTAATGATTTTTAGCATTAAAAAAAAAACTATAATTTTGACCCATACAATGTATTTTTGGCTATTGCTACAAATATACCCCAGCGACTTAAGATTTATTTTGGTTTTGTGCTCCAGGGTCACATATATAGCTTGGAAGTAGGAGCTTTGCAGGAACACCTGAAGGTGGTAGAACCATAAAACATTATGAAAAAAAAAAAAAAAAAGTTTTGTTTGTTTATTTATTTATTACAAACCCAAACCTGATCGAAATCTGATGCAATATGTTGCAAAACACTTTACAGTAAGGTTTCATTTATTAAGATGAGTTCACTACATTGTTTAACATTAACTAACAATGAATAATACTGATACAATGGGACTTTATTGTAGCGTGTCACTAGAACTTGAAACCCGTTAAAACCTGTTGGTCAGTCAGGTCCCGTTGGTCTCGCGTCAGGTAGCAGACCTCTATTACATGCAAACATTCATATATGGAATTGGCTCTTTTAAACAAGAAAAATTAAGGGGGTCTCTAAAAAAATTAGACAGGCACACAGAGGAAAGCAATGGGATCAATTAAAACTCTTCCTTGTTAAAATGATCACAACCTGAATAAAAATCAAGCCCTGAGCCCTCCTGTACCTCAGATTGACCTGCTGGCAGACTGCATGGATCGCTCCCACCACTTAAAGAAATTATTGGCCTTAATTAGCACCCGTTCTAGATGCCCTTCAATACAAATGGGGCCTAGCCAGAGCTATTCTGAGGTGCGTGCAATGGTAAAAGGATATTAGTGCCATAACATCCAGTCCTTGGAATGCTGCCTTTTACCTTTGTGTGATTAAGAGTAATGAGATTCCATGAGTAAAATCTTTGCTTGTTAAATTTATAGAAAGTTTGGCTGGCATCTTTGTGAAACATCCTTAAAAGGACAGAATTTAAGTGCGGCCCTGGGCACCATTTTTGGGCAGCAGTCAGCAGAAGCTTTTCATTCACTAGAATGGTCTGAGACTGGATAGCGCACCTGCCCATGACATAAGAGCAGTGTGCTAACAGGGATGCAGTTTTAATGTCATAAGGGTCAATTTTTTTTTTTTAATTGACACTTATACATCATCTGAAAGGTGAATAAATAAGCTTTCTGTTGATGTATGATTTGTTAGGATAGGACAATATTTTGAGATACATTTATTTGAACATTTGGAATCTGAGGGTGCAAAAAAAAAAATTTGAGAAAAGTTGTCCAAATTGAAGCTCTTAGAAATGCACATTACTAATCAAAAATTAAGTTTTGATATATTTACAGTAGGAAATTTACAAAATATCTTCATGGAACATGATCTTTACCTAATAATATCCTAAAGATGCATATATGGGTCATATGTGTCAGGATCATGGACTGTCTTGTGTCATGTTTTGCCCCTGTTTCTGTTCCCTTATTTGGTCATGTTCCTGTCCTCGTTTAGTTTAACTGGTCATCCCATACACCTGTGTCTTCCCAATTATCCTGTGTATTTAGCTCCTGTCTGTGCAGTCTGTGTTTGTCGGTTCTGAACGTCGTTGTGCTACGTGTGACTCCTGGCTACCCTGTGTGTCTTCCTGTGGATCATTAAAGACTGTTCTGTGTGAAATTCCTTGTTTCCTCATTCCTCGCTCCGAACAGTAGGCAACCGTGACAGAATTGATAACAGATACTCCAGTCAACTCAAAAGAATAACAACTGCCTAGTAGATAATGATGACTACTGGCAAATTTTCATGTGTTGTGCGTGCATAATTATTATGCAAGTTGATATTCTGATCATTTTTTTTTTTCCAAGCACATTTGACCAATTCCAGACCACATCAATCTTAATAACTACTATTAATTTTGTATTTAATCATTTATAAGTGATTTATAATTGTCCATGAAGGCTGGAAAAACTCATGTTCAGGTGTGCATAATTATTAATTAAGCAGGTTTTCTTTTACATAAAAAATTAGCCAAAAAAGAGATTTAACTCAGACTGAAAAGTCAAAAATGATTATTACTCACTTTCATAACAGAGTTGAAAAAATTGCTAACCTCACATAAAAAATAAAAAAAGCTCCTTTTTAGTTTGACCTCCTGAGGTTAATGGTCAACATTTTCTCAAGGTTAAGCACATCTTCTTTCACAGAATATTTGTTAGAAAGAGTAGAAGAAGAAAAAAACATCAATGACTTTCTTTTAAAAGTTTTAGACCCTATTATTCCTACATTATTCATGAAAAGTGCAATATACTTAATCGTTATATAATCATCTCAGCCTCATCTCTTAACCTGCCTTACACTTGCACAAATAACAGCTGGAACAATTAGGCCTACATACTGTTCATTCGCTCACTATTTTTATGCAAGTGCACGTCTGATGGATGACTCATCTCGCTAATGAAACCTCCAGAAGAGACCATTTTCTTTGACAATGCTCTGGAACAGAAGACACGAGGGCTCGGAGTGCGAAAGGAGAAAGGGCGGACAAAACGCCACGTAGGCTGAAGGATAAAATTAGCACCTCAATAAAAGAGGAAGGAGCAGAGAAGGAAGCATGAACAATGAAATTAAGAGAACCCGCGACACATCAAACACATTCAATTACATTTCTGTCTTAGTCTTAGCGTGACTGAAGAGTCGCCCATTATGACATTGGGACAAAGGACACTCGTGATCTCATTGCACAGTCCTCGACGGAAGTGTTTAATGGAATAAAAGCGGCTTCTCGTCGAGGAGTGCGGAGGTGCTTTTGAGCGCCCCGCAGAATGACATATTTTTTCATACGTGAGGAGGCAGGTTGCCTTTTCAAGGCAATTCCCAGGCATTTAAATGAGGAGAATGAGCCAGTGAATATCTCTGCCGAGTGTGAGTTACCTTGGCACAGTGGGGCCGGATTGTCCCACTGGTAAAGCCCACTGGGATGAAGTATGCATGTAGCATTTCTGTGACCCACGAGCCTGTAGCCAGCGTTGCAGTAATACTGGAGCCTGCTGCCTGGCCGATCTCTCGCCCTATTGATGACTCCTCCATTCTTGGGTGGATCGTTCACACTGCAGTACGCAGCTGTGGGAGACGGTAACAAACACAGTTTGTTATAGTATGATGTTCAGGGTTATTGAAAAATTAAACTTATTCAAACCATTTTTGTCTATGTGCACTTTTTAACCTTTATGTGGATTTTAGTGTAATGTGAAGATTTTTGTGTGTGATGATAATGACATTGCCCACTTTTCAGATATAAACACAGTTTACGCATTAATATAACACACTTACGGGACCTTATCTGTTAGAATTTCCTTTGAAACTAGGCTAAATATATTTCTTAAGGAAATTTTTGCTGGTAAACAAGGCATACTGATTAAAAACTGTTGACATGGCATTTACTTCTATACAATAAACAAGTATTTTTGCTGGTCAATGTAAAAATCTGCGTCCTGAAGCAAAACCAGTTCTCCACTTCTTTGGCAGCTTTTTAGGTTACACTTTATTTCGATAGTCCACTTTAGACATTCTATTAACTATAAGTAACTTTGTAACTACATGTCAACTACATGTCAACTAATTCTCATTAATTTGCAACTACATGTCTACTAACTCTCAGAGTAGATTGTTAGGGTAGGTTTAGGGTTAGTAGAATAAGTTGACAAAGAAAATGTTAGAAGATATTAAGCAGACAGTCTACTAATACTCTACTAACTGCTAGTTGACATGTAGTTGCAAAGTTACTTACTGTTAATAGAATGTCTAAAGTGGACTATCGAAATAAAGTGTTACCGCTTTTTATTGCACAGAAAATTAAATCTAAGAGTAATCCATATTTTTCCATTTCATCACAAGAAAAAAGTCTGCTAAGTTAATTCGGTCAACTTTTATGGCGGTACACGGCCATTTAGATTCAAAACTATGTGATGCGGACTAAAAGCCATACAACTCAAACTTGGAGGTCTTTAAAACTGTGTTTAAGCTTGATTCTGAGATAAAACGAAAGTGCAGCTTGATGGTTATGAACAGATCATTAGATCTTGTTTTTGATGTGACACAAATACAAGTTTACCCATCATAAAAAGGAAAGCAGAAGCTCGAGGGATGTCAAAGCTTAATCTCACTTCAGACAGATCAAATCAAATGCATCATCACACCAACTCTGCTGAGAGGTTTAGACTTAGCTGTGAGTGATTAACTAGACCTAGCATAAAAAAACATCCATGTGGCACTGAATTTTAATTTTCTTTACCCTGAAAGCCCAAAAGACTAAGAAAAGTGAGAAAAACAAGGAGGGGCTTGAAGTTGCTTCTCAAAGATGCTTTATAGAGATAACAGTGTTATATTTATCAAAAAGTGTTACCTACTTCCTGTAATTATATAAAATCAAAATCTAAAAACACAGTAGCCACTCAGAGGTTTAGAAAACACAGTTCCTCCGAGCGACATAATGGTTTCTCTTTCTGTCTACTCTTGACAAAATCCAATAAACACCCCTAGATGCCCTATGCAGGCCCATTTTTCCAGTGTGTTGCCACATAGGGCATCGTATGTCAGAAAGATCAACTGAAATGAACACAGAGAGCAAGAAACGCTGACAGAGAGACAGAGAAATGGGAACGGGTGAAGAGATGCCGAGTAACCATGGCCACTGGCTTTGCGGCCCATATATCATGTTTAGCCATTGGTGGAAATGTCGGTCAGAAGCATACGACATGGTAGTTATTCAGCAAAATTCATTACTGCATCTTTGACCTCTATTACAGCAGACTTGCCAATGGCTCCCTGAAGGTAGGACATGTCTGGTTCTAGCCTAATGAGGGCCAACTTAGAAAAAGCTGACTTTTTTACTTATTGACCCATTTGGATCCAAAGCAACAACCTTGGAGGGCTAAATGGTGAGAATTAATCTGAGGCACATATTATCACATACTACTGAATGTACCAACAGGCTAATTAGAAAGAATTGTAAATGTATTCCTGATTTAAATGCCTGGATGCATCAAATGTGGAATCAAACAAATGGAGCTAGAGGGAAAAAAAAAACTGTCTTTCTGTCATGACAACTCTCGGAGGGATTGGCATGGTAATGTACATGACAATGTTAATGTATATGGTCTTGGCAAAATAGATCTGCTACGCTGCTGCTGCGGCAGAACACGTACCGAGACTTGCTACCGCCAATACATCCACAACATGCTGCTGTGAGCATGTAAGAAATATTGCTGTTGCAAATATAACATACATGAATTAACCCCCATATAGCACACATAGCAGATCTATACAGGTGGAGCTGGGGAAGGTGGAGGGTTTCTGAAGCAAGCTGCAACTGCTATGGCAAGCACTAGTCATATATTTGAATGTTGAGCAGCGAGCTCATTGGCTACCGATACAGGAGAGAACCAATCAGCTGTGCCACGTGATAATGATGTCATTGGGTCAGATTGAGTTATACTTATCAGAACATACATGAAATGGTGAAATATGTTTAACAAACCTGTGTAGCGTATTTTGAAGCCTTTCTTGCTGGTCGCATGATCAGTTGACCATCTGAGGTAAAGCTGGTTTGTTTTGCTAGTGAAATTCAATTGTGTGGAGTGGTTCCCACTCAAAGCCACCAGCAACGGACTCTGTCCAGATGGCCCTGGTAAATAAAACATCACAAAAACAACAAGAAAAGCTAAATATTGCAAACCACAAATCTGTTGGGCAGCAACAAGACAGACGTGACTTTAGGAAGAAGTAAATGTCATAGAGCAGTGGTTCTCAAACTTTTCAAGCCAAGCGCCACCTTTGATCAAATCAGCATATCCAAATTCAACCTAGTCATCACAACTGTTTACACTACACTGTTTTTCCTGTCACTTGGCTGGTTCCTTGAGGATCTTCAGAAATTCTCTAAAACACATATAATAAAATGTGAAAGTTGTATGATCTTATGAAGTTTTATGAAGGGATAATTCACACAAAAATTAAAATTCAATGTGAAACCATAAAAACTTTCATTTCGTCCCATTCATTCAAGTGCTCAGTTCACGCATGCAAGTATCAACAGCTAATCAGTTCTTTGATCCGAATCCGAACTTTTACTGAACTGAGGTAAGAATGATGTAAAGAATGTTCAGTTTCTTGCACAGACCGATCGTTTCTCTTCATAAGACCTCAATATATCATCAGGAGCCACAGTTATTAATTTTGTGTTGCCTGTATATGATTTTTTGATTCTCAAAGTGATGGTAGCTGTTGACTTTTTGTGAAACACCAAGGACCACAGTTTCAGCTAAAAATGTTCTTTATTGCCCTACTTCAGAAAAAAACAAACACAATTTTTTTTTTACCTACATCTTGGATGGCCTGAGGGGCCATTAACATAGGGTAAATTAACAGTACATTTTTATTTTAGGTGAACTATATCCCTTTAAGCATGCCTCCTAAATATAAAGCTTTTTTTGTCTCAGTTCTTGGTTTGACCTTTTGTTTTAATAGTAAGCATTTACTTTTTAAAACTGGTCAAAATGGCTCACAAATGATTTTTCTAAACATATATTTGTGTTATGAAGTGTTGTTGTTAGTAGAATAGAATAGAATAGAATCTACCATCAAAGATCTCCAGTTCGTCAAACTGCTTCTCGCTCTGGAACATTTCCACATAAATGGCGATGGTGAAAGCAGGCTGCACTCTGATGATCCAGGAGCAGGTCTGGGAGTTGGGGTAGTTTTTTGGGAATCCTGGACTCAGGATCACACCAGAGGAGGCAGACCGTTCCTCATTTGCAGGACACTGAGCTGTAGCATAGACATAGCATTTCACAGGAATCATGGCTATTATTACAAATCACAATGTGGTTGTCCTACTAACAAAGCACAAGATGCAAGCTCCAGAGTATTCCAGTAAAAACAGTAAAGTTGAAAAACTTTCTCCAACATGCGCAGTGCTTCTCCTGGGGCCGCAAGCCTTGGTTTGAGGAAGCAACAAAGTGAGTTGAAGCTTTTTGTTAATTCGCTTTGTGGGCGGGAGGGTGGAGGAAACAAACCAGGAGAACTATCGCTTCTTCATGGCACTGTACAGAAAGTACAGACAAGCCAAACGGCTCAGATTCACAACTGAAAGCTTTGCTGTGGATAACTGGAATGCTTTTTCCCCCCCTTTGCTCCCAAGACAGCTTTCGGCTACTGTCTATTTGTTACCATACAACAAAACAATGCAGCCTCTGGGGTGTTCAGTGCCATCTTTTTATGGATTACAATTTTACAAGCTTTGATTACAAGAATCACACTAATGATTTAACATCTTTATTATTTTAGATTGGTGGTCTCCAGCCATCTTTAAATTATTTACATGAAGTACTTCCTTTTGGTTGTGTTGTGTAATTCGCATTATTAAATATATTCTCTTTATTTGTGTATTACCATAACATTAACAATAATAATAATAATAATAATAATAAAAACTGGATGTGCACATTCTGGAGGAAATAGCACTATAGAAAGTTTAGGCAAGTTTAAGTTTTAGGCTTTATGCTGCAGAAGAGTCACTTTGCCATCATCAGGACGCTAAGCTTGCATCTTGTTTTCTGTCAGCACAAAAATAAACAATGCAAGGTATGCACTATATACCATTAGGTTAAATATATGCATGGGATATCAAATAATAATTCAGTATGCAGCATATGTTAAAGATAATATACTACCATGGCATATAAACACTATATACAATTTAAATAATTTACTATTAATATTATTTTACATTTCAACAATCAAAATGGGATTTTTTATTTCATTACAGTTAAAATGCAAAAGATGAAAAATGAAAAAAAAAAAAATCAACATAGGCTCTCTGTAAAATATTATCGGTAACACTTTAGTTTAGGGACCAGTTCTGACTATTATAGTTGCTTGTTAGCATGCATATTACTCACATATTAGCTGTTTATTAGTATTTATAAATCACATATTAATGCCTTATTCTGCATTACCATATTTTAGATCCCTTAATTCTACTCCATACCTAAACTCAAAAACTACCTTACTAACTATTGATAAGCAGCAAACTGGGAGTTCATAAACTGGGAAGTCATAGTTAATAGTTAGTTAATAGTGAGAATTGGTCCCCAAATTAAAGTGTGACCATATTATGTATTTCCATATTGAAATAAATATCTCGCCTATTTCTACAGGTTTTGTTCTTCACTGACCTTCACACACTGGTGGTGGACCTTCAAACTGCAGGTGAGAATTCAGTTTACAGGTGAGCTCATCGCTGCCAGCCAATGTAAATCCAGGAAAGCATCGATACCTCACAATGTCACCTGCATGGTACAGTAAGACAGTAAGAAGAATTAAACATGTTTTAAATCATGACTTTGATATTCTTGCATTAGTGGACAGCTGTTCATACCAATTTCATAGTCCTGGTCTTCAAATAATATCTCTGCTTGTTCAACCGTAGGGGGAGGAGGGCATTTCTTGAGTCGATAAGCTAAGGGAAAAAAACAAAATGAAGCAGTTTGCCTTTTCGTTCACCTTTATAGGCATGACACATTTCACACAAGGCAACCCACTCACAGTATCAATTACATATACAACATGTGACAACATTCAATTCTATGCATCGCCATACTGGGAGCCCTCTCAAGAATAAAAGCTGCACTGAAACCACACGTCTATAACTCGCAAATATGCCAGACTTGTTCTGAAATGAAAGTTGGAGGTAGATGAAAGTCTGGTTCATTTTCACACTTCCTATGCTTTTCAACAACATGCCTGCATGCTGACACTGATATCAAAGAGGCCAAAGGAAAGCTATTTTGGACTCTTCTAATCTCCTGAAATAACGTGATGTCATCAGAAGCAGCAGTCATGCCTCCTTAGAGTATAAAAACAAGTTGAATCCCATGTTTCAAATATATATTTCCAGCGGCACTTTATGGTATGCATTGCACTTCAGCGGCAACATTTTTAATTTGAAGGAGAAACTAACCATGGAAATTAAGGACAAAGAATCCACTTGTTGAGAAGTCGCTGTGGAACTTGATAAGAACCTGATTGAGAGTGCTGTAGGCTGACTCGAGGGCTGTGTTGCCGCTGAAAATTCCCAGCTGCGGGTAGCTTTGCTCTGGGCCGTCCCTGGAAGAGGAAACACGCATTTGAAATTACATTACAACCTGTGATCCTGCCATTAAACGGCATTATAATGCCTCGGAATTCCGAGTGGTTTGAGAAAATTGATTTACTTCCAAATTTACAGTGAGATTGTGCTGACTTTTGAATAAAAGCATTACATTACAGACCAGCTTGAACGCAAACAGCAAAAATGATGACTTAACAGACTAGTCCGCTTGTTTAATGGCTTTTGAAGATTAATGGACGATATTACTGGGAAAGCGCCGGAGATGCATATTTCCACATTTTTTAATCAACTCTTGTTTCAGATTATTCAGTGGGAATTATGACATTCGGCTCTGCGCTTTGTGATTATTACAAAATACCTACGATTCAATGAAACAAGATTTCCATTCAGTTATTTCAGTAACTTTAGTAAAACAAATGAAGGTGTTTCAAATAAAGAAATTGGGTCAAGAACATGTTGAGCCATCTTTCAAAAGTGCAAAAGTATTTCAATTAGTATTTATAAATCACATATTCTGCATGACCATATTCTACATCCCTAATCCTAAACTTAACAACTACCTTACTAATTATTAATGCGCAGCAAATTAGTAGTTTATTGAGACAAAAGTCATAGTTAATGGTTTGTTAATAGCAAGAATTGGACCTTAAAATAAAGTGTGACCATATTTTTGGAATAAATTGCAATTTATTAATATCCCCATATTAATAACAGGGTATTAACTGTTTTTGTAATTTTTCTAAAACGGTTGTAAAATTAGGCTTTATTTTCTTTTCTGTTTTTCACGAGAATCACCCCAACGCTTTTGAGTGAAAAGCTTTACAACTTCAAAGACATCTGAACTTTTCTTGAAATCTCGCTTTGCACAGTGACTACAGACTACAAATGCCAGTAAACAAAGTGGAGCTCGATTTGCGTAATGATTTGCTGGATGTATGACAACAATAGCAGCATTAATCTAGTTTGAAAGCTTAAATAATTGTCTTGTCCTCATCTCAGGCTGATATTTGCCAAACGACTCGTTAAATGGAGCTGCGCTCACCAGACAGCGATATAGTCAGTCACAGGCTCAGTTTGGAGCAGGGTGAAGTTGATGTAAACCCCATGACCATGGGGCACGGTGATGAGCCAAGTGCAGTCCTGAGAGTCTGGGTACTCATTTGGGTACTCTGGAGAGAAAATGGTGCCGTTTGGAGCCGTCACGTTGTAGCCACAGGGAGCTGTGTGCAGATAAACATCATTCAACCACGACGGCATTAGTAATCTGTCTTTCTGAATAACGGCTAATGTTAAACACCAGGGCATCCAGCAAAATCAGAACAGTAACAGCATTATCTGACATTATTTACCCACTCTCATGTATATTTATGTATATATCTATATATTGTTTTTGATGAATTTAAGAATTTTCAAGCAGTTATTTTTCATAATTCTCATATGGTCTACTTGTATAGCACTTTTCTTTTGAGTTTTACAGATGTCACTATGAAATGTTGTCATACGGGGGGAACAATAACACAAGAGTGCGTAAACACTGGCAAAATATACACATCTTCTCTTTTAAAGACTACTAATAGTAGACAGAACGGTTTCATTTGCCGAAGAGTGAAAACCGAAGAAGAGAACAGAACATTCCTGAGGCTGCTATATAGAAGATACTGGCACAACAGAATAACACAGTTATGATAAAAAAGAAAGAAAAATGGCCCTATAGTCTTTGAAGTGCAGATTCCCTGCAAACGGAAGCCTAGGAGGAACACGTTGAGCGACCGATCGATAAGAGACAGGTCGGATTTCACACTACACTACCCACGGTAATCATCAAGGCTACAATTTAGAACAGCTCCCAGTAGCATATGTCTCCACTGTTCAGGTCTTCAAAGTCTGTTTTAAAGATGGTTTTAAAACACAATGGCTCTTATTGTACTAGTAATGCAAAGTAGTAACACTTCACTTAAAGAGCATAGTTAAAAAGACATTTGGGAGAATATAATACCTTTGTAAGACTCAAAAAGTCTGAATTATTCATGTTTTTTGGTTTCAAAGTGTGGGCAAAGAGGGCTGAAAATAACTGTGTGCTAATCACAACACAACTTGAGAAACTTAAAGAAATGTTAACAGGGACATTACTTTCTTCCCCTCCGTTTACCTTCACAGCGAGGAAAGGGGTGGTTCCACTTCCTGTTGATGCCGTGCTGGCATGTTAGCACAGGGTAGCCGACTAACACGTATCCCGGGAAGCATTCAAATGTTATGGATTGGCCTGCGTTGAAATCGCTGTTGATGATATACCCGTTGTGGAATGGATATGGGTCTTGACAGTTTTGTAATTCATATGCTACAAGAAAAAAAAACAACAACAACAACAACAGAATATATGAATATCTGTAAAGTCATGTCTGGAAGTTGAAGTATGATATTTACTAGTTGGGCCCACTTAAAAGAATTAAAATAATTGAATTCATGCCATTTCAAACCCATGCAAATTTCTTTTGTGAAACATACAATAAGATTTTTATGCTTCACTGAAAAAAAAGTCATTAAGAAAAACACAATATTATATTAATGAATAAGTGATGACCAAAATTTCATGGTTGGGTTCATTTATTTATTCATTTCTTTATTTACCTTCTTTCCCCCCTAAATATCTGAAACCAAAAGTAAAAAAATGTAAAACAAATAAAAAAATCTAATATTTTCACCACAAATTAGTTTATTAGCATTGGGAAATTAAACAGATTTTGTTTGTCTCTCCTTTTCTTTAATGACAGTAGCACTCAAGCTGATATGAACTAAGATAAATAAATAAACAAACAAATAAATTAATAAATAAGAAAGCTAACCCTATAAGGCCTAGTGCATTATATTTTATACATGAATTTCTAAGGCCTCTAAATCATTAACATGATCAAACCTGCAGAAAAACTTTGCATTCTGCTTGCTAATTGATAGTACATATGTTTAGTAAGGAAAAGGCCTTTTAGTATAATTCTAAAAAAAAAAAAAAATTATACCTTCAGGTTGTGGTATACGTTTATTCTCAAATATACATAAGAATACCTTTAATATTGTTAGTGATATTTCCATTTGAACACTTACTGCATGGAAGCAACTTAGGTTTTTTGATTATCCATACAACATTTTTTAGAAATATCATGGTAAATGTAATGTAACCATCATTGTATTGCATTGCAATATGTTTTGTCCCCCACAATTACTCAGCATCTGCACCAAACTGCATATTTTTTGCTCAGTTTGGGCCTCTGAAGGTGTGTTTTCCCATATTATCATATATGGCGCGATAAAAGCCTAATGTATAAAATCAATCAACATTCACTCAATCAACTATAAAATGACAAACATTCACAAAAGTGCCTACACTATGCTAAGGCGTTTATGACAGCTAAACATGCAAGGTGTTGCTCATCTCTGTGTATCGTCACCAGTGTGGTGAAGTAGCAGAAAGCTTGTCAAACTAACACACAAGCATCTCCAGGCAGCATTTCAAGTGCAGCGCTTATGATCAACAGCTTTATAATCATATTCGTTCATCCTGCATCATTGTTTGTGTATCAAAACACGGCATCAGTATTCCCCCCCGCAAAAGCCCGTCTGGCAGCACAGATCAAGGCTGTGCCTGGCTCTTTTCAACTCAGACTAGAGTGGATAAGAAAAGAGAGAGACGAACTGTTTGACCTACAAGCGAGGAGACCAGACAATGGTGAGTTATTTATATCGAGTGGAATCCAAGTGCACATCCAGATGCACCGTCTTATTGATTTCAAAATGCTTTCAAGACCCCGGCTGTCATAATGGAGTGTCCTCCCAGTGATCTCAAAGGAAGTGAATCTTTAGATATTTCCAATGATCTTAGAAAAAGGCCGTCACTCCCAGATGAAGGGTCAATACAAAATCAAGGACGGCTGATGTCTGCAGGAGAAGAGAGCGCGGTATGCAAATGGAGGATTGGGAAGTCACCCACCTTGATAAGTGAGTTTGAAGCCCTGTCTGTTCTCGGAGTGGTCGCTGTAGAAGTGGATGACGGTTTCGTGAGTGCTGCTCAGTATAGGGGGCGGCACTTGGCTTCCGCTGAACTGTCCAATCAGAGAGCTGCTGTGGTGCGGCCCATTGCGAACCTCTAAAAAATCGTGGTTATCCTCAGAGGTGAAGTTGAGAAATTGGATGTGTGCCCCTGCAGAGTCAAACAGGCCGTGTGTCACATGACTTATGTGCATAATTTACATACGGAATGTCATTAAAGCGACATGGGTTTTTAAACAATAACTCTGACTGGCCTGTACAGAGCAGCTCTTGCTGCTGTTAAAATAGATGCTGTTAATTGCTAAATCACAAATCGTTTTTCCCTCATGTTCATATGTGTGGAAAAAAATGTAACAGCCGTGTTAGCACAGTAATTGGCTTCCTGTGAACTGTGGGAAAACAGGAAGGGAACTAGCATATTACTAACAAACTGACTTTTATCCTACAGACTCCAGATATTTCGTTTATCAGCATCAAATTTAAGTGAAAATGTGGTTTATAGGGATTTTAGAATGTTTCGAAAGTATTTTGTTTGTGCCTTTTTACTTTAATAACAGCATCACTCCAGCTGACATGGACTTCACAGATTTGTGGAGTATTAATTATTCAAATGAAAACTGTCATCGTTTACTCACCCTCATGTCATTCCAAATCTGTAAGACTTTTGTTCATCTTTGAAATACAAATGAAGATATTTTTAAATGAAATGAAAGATTTCTGTCCCTCCATTGAAAGTCCATTCACCTTTGACGCTTCAAAAAGTCATTAAGAAACGTAATCCATATGAATCGAATGGTTAAATCCAATTCATCTGAACAGACACAATTGCTTTATATAGCGTGGTGAAAAGATTTAATTTGGGCCTTTTCAAACGTACGTGCTTGATGCACAAGAGACAATGAGGATTGTTCTTGCACGTCAAGAAAGCACTTTTGAGTTTCAGTTTATATATGTGCTGATCAGTTTTATATATGAATAAAAAAACAAATGAAATCTGTTGTTCAACATATAAATGGATCGTGTCTCTTCAGAAGACTTGGATTAAACCGCACGATTCATATGGATTATATTTACTGTGTCTTTATAAAGATTTGGAACCATTAAAGTTTTGATGGTGAATAGAATTTCAGTGAAGGGACAGAAATCTCTCAGATATCATTGAAAATACCTTCATTTCTATTTTGAAGATGAACTCAATCTTATGGATGTGAAAAGACATCATAGGGGAAATTTAATGACATTTTTAAAAATATGAATTCTACAGCTGACTTAAACTTACTTAAAATTATGTTAATGCTAATGTAACAAGACACCATTTCCCAGTAACTACATCCATACACAGCATACACAGACATAGATGGATGCAAACCTAGGGTGCAAAATGATGGGGGCAGCAAGACATTTGTTGATCTATTGTGCCTCTAACCTCTTGCATTACTGACAGTGCTTTTGTGTTATGCTGTTCAGAGTGCCGGCAATGAATTTTGCGTAACGGCAGTTCTCATAAACTCTGCTCTGACTCAGCTCGAGAGAGAGAGACCCGCACATTCACTCTCTTTGCATGCTTTGAGTCTCTGTTCTATCTCTGTTTTTTTTTTCTAAAAACATAAGCTTTGATTGAGTTTGTCAATTTGGTAAGTCTCTTTCAAGACTAAAATATGACATTTTGAGGCATTCATTTGACAGTACTGACTATTTAGAAGATTTTATTTTTTAATTGTATTTATTTATTTATTTTTTAATGGCCTGGTCATGATACTTTGTGATGTATCATAATACATATGGCATTTCGACGCATGTATGATGAAACATATTGTATAGTGAGGTAGCCAACTAAACCCAGGCATATAGCCTACACCAGCGGTTCCCATCCTGGGGTCCACACCAGGGACAAATATGGATGCAAAAATCTTTTTCACTTTATTAAAAAAACTCTCAACCAGTCACCATTAACAGTAACTGCTGTATTTCTACATACATGTGCTGCTCTCCTTCCACTCTCTTCTGAACTATTTATCTCACACAAGAGAATCATCTATATTAATTAAAAAGCTTTTTTTCTTCTTCTTCAGTAAATTGGAGTCCAAATGTTGCCAGCATTTCAGTGTTTTGTGTGGTGGGCGGAAGGGGTTTTGTTTATTTCTGGTTCCATAGCTGTCACTTAAATTCATCAATGTGTAGCTCCTCCAAGCCAGCAAGAAATAGCACAGGAAAGATGCCAGTGCGAAATTTTACAATTACGCACCATTAACTTCACCTCATCCTCAACAATTATTCTGTCTTTGTCTCCAACCACAAGATTTGAACTTAACATTCATTACATAAAAGAAGATAGTTGGATGATACGACAACAAAAGAATCAAACAAGTCAGTCGCTTTCACTGAAAGCATGCGTCGCTCTGAGACGCCTTGGGCAGCTCTTTTAAAGATGAGCTTTATTGTCATTCTGATGCGGTGCTATCCTCTAACTGCACTTAACTCTACCTATTCAGACTGTCCTAAAAGCTATAATCAGCACCAGCAAAGCCATCTGTGTGTCTTATTCAAATGATTGTAGCCTGTTAACAGTGAAAGCTAATGCATTTTTTGCTACACAGCGCACACATGATGGTTCTTGCTCTTGCTTGTGCAGCGGCTACTCGATAAGGCAGAAAATTGCTTTTGGATATCTCAATGTTACATTGTTTTCTTCCAAGTTAGAGGCGGTTGGAGAATAAATAGTTGCGCTCCAGGATAAGTGTGAATGGCTTTTTTAAATGACATGCAATTACCTTGTTAACATCTGGAATGGTTATTTTGTTCTCAACTCATTTGAACTGTGAGGCGGGCTACGACTAAATGACTTCAGAGAGTTGCATCGACTGCTAAAACCACATATTAAAAGTTGAGATAAATGAAACCAAATAACGCCCTTGTGTCAAGTAGCAGAACATCAAATGGAAAGGAAGTATCATTTTATGTCTGATGGTATTCAGCGTGATGCTGTCTTGTTTCTGGGTAAATTTAAATACTATTAAAAGAAATGTGTTCTGATTTTGAACAAAAGCAAGCTTTAATCGAATATTGACATTTTAACTATTATTTTCTGACAAAACAAATGCAAATGTTGTGTAGGGTCCGAGTAATTACATGAGTAAGCCAGTTTGCTAAAATTAGGTCTTCTTGTTGGTGAAAAAAGTCACAATTTTGCAGCTGAAAAAATAAAATCTTATGCCACTGAAATATTTAAAGTCAACATGAAATGCTGTAAATTCCTACAGAGAACCAGCAGTTTGGAGAATGGATGAAAGGATTTGTTAAGCCATTTTACCTACCATTACTACTGTAAAGTGATGTATTTCTACAGGATTTGGCAGGAAAAAAAAATTTAAACTAAGTCTAACATACTAGAATGGGTTGTAATGAGAATGAGAGTGAGAAGTCTGTGACATAATCCAAAAATGAAACTTGCATCAGAGGTGGAGGCATTTTTATGTTTATGTTAATTGAATGTTTATTATTAGCTTACAATAAGACCAGGAAAATCCATTAAATTCTGTCATCATTTTCTCACCCTCGAAATTGTCCCAAACCTCTATGAGTTTCTTTCTTCTGCTGAACACAAAAGAACATATTTTGAAAACTGTTGGAAGTCAAACAGTTGCTGGTAGCCATTGACTTCCATAGTATGGAAAAAAATAAAATATCAAAATCAATGTCTACCAGCAACTGTTTGGTTACCAAAATTCTTCAAAGTATCTTCTATTGTGTTAAACAGAAGAAAGTACTTCATACAGGTTTGGAACAACATGAGAGTGAGTAAATGATTTTTTGGGGGGGGATAAACTATCCCTTGAAGAAAATAAACATATCAGTAGATTCACTATTTTAAGTTAGTTCTCCCTCAACTGTGGTCATAGGTACCAGCACACTGCAATGTACAAACTGAAGGGGAAAGACTCCTTGAGAGAAAGCATTTGAAGCTGTAATCTCCAGACAGATGATTCAGTATTAGCTCTCGGCGCACCCACCGTATCCAACAGGAAGCACGATTCTCCAGGTGCAGTCCAAGTTTCCAGGGTAGTTCCCAGGGAAACCCGGGCTCAGGACCACATTGCTCATATCGTACAGGGTTCCGCCGCACTTCGCTGAAGAAACATAAGGAGACATAAAAGAAAATGCCCTGGGTGTTTGAATATCAAAAACTATGAAAAAGCCATATGGTTAAAAAAAAAATTCTGCCATCTGATTATTATAGAAAAACGCACCGATACAGAGCGGAGGGGGGTAGTTCCAGCGACGCACGGTTCCCGGCATACACGTTATGTGAGAATGTCCCTGGAAGACAAGAGATCACATGATACAGCTTCTCCGTCTTGTTATTTTTTGCACTTTTCTACCCGTGTGCAGGTGCAGCATGTTGTATTTGTGTGTCAGGGCTGCGGATAATCAGCAACTCACCTGAAGCACATACCCCGGCTCACAGCTGAACGACACAACCTCGTTCACCATGTACCTGTCGCCGTTCTTGATGCCATTGGCCGGGATCACGGGCTCCGGGCAGGTCGTCAGTCCCACGGCTAAATGGGTCAGAGAAGGCATTAAGACATGTTCCTAATATAGATTCAGCATGTTACACCACAGCTCTTATAAAGGGGTAAAATTATAGTGTCAGGTATTCCTAATCATCTGAACGCATGTGCTCATTGTAATTTTATGCTGCCTTTTATCCACTCGATTTCAGCGAGTAAATTCGGGACCGTAATAGACTGTGCGAGGCTGTTGCCATGGCGACGGCTGTGGTGTGGTTTATGAGACCGTGCTTTCTGCATTCCTCTTCTTGAGATATGCCACACGACGGGTGGCATAACGCTTCTGTGACAGTGAAAGTGCTATTTTTCTGTGTTTTTGCAAAAATCACTCATATATACAAACAAAATATGAAAAGAGACTATTGCTTTTGTGACCTATGATGGTCACTACAACTCAACCAATAATACATTAAGGGAAAAACACAGATCTGTCATGACAACTCTCGGAGGGTTTGGCATGGTAATGTACATGACAATGTTAATGTATTTGGTCTTGGCAAAATAGATCTGCTACGCTGCTGCTGCTGCTGCGGCAGAACACGTACCGAGACTTGCTACTGCCAATACATCCACAATATGCTGTTGTGAGTGTCAGATTTTGGATTTTTGCGTTCCGGTATTTGTTTTTAAAGATCCGGCATTATAGAGTGCATTAGATCGTAACAGTGCGTGCACGCATATGAGACAGAGCGATTGCGGGTTTATGTAGATGTATTTGGAGCATGATTTGTAGATTATGTATTGGTCCTCAACATATTATTGACCAATCAGCTTTTCTTTCAAAATCGCTCTCGTTGATTGGTGCTGCTGCTTAACCCGCTCTCTCTTTCGTGAGCAGCGGAACATTTGGAGAGAATGTAATAATACCAGAAATACTAGAAATAATACCAAATAAAGTGAAATATTATAATGTATAAACATTATAAACACTATAATCATAGCCTAGTTTCTCTCACTCCAAAACAAATCATTTACATGTAACGGTATGCAGAACAGATCAAGAATGAAAAAATATAAAGCTAAAGAAACCAAAACAAAGCGAAACTGAAAGTACCGTTGGGCTCACGTACCTCTCTCATGTGGCACAAATCCAATGTTTCCATATTCGTAATGTATTTCAATGTTAAACTATTATTTATAATGTAGACTAGGCTTCATTTGCGTTCGCATATCGACGGAAAAAATCATCCTCTTCACATGCGTAAAAATGCGCTTGGCATAACAGCAGCTGTAGACCGGTTGTACTACGGACTCTTTAAATCGATATGTTTGGCTGACTGTATTTTATTTTGATAATGAACAGACTGCGATGGCAAGTTTAAATTGCTAGAATATGTGGTGTGTGTCTGTGTGTGTGTGTGCAAGGCGCCGGCATGATCAAACAGTTGACACATATACTCCATTTTTGGTCATACAGATAAGAGTAAAACAACCCGCAAAATGTTAAAAAAAATTAATAATAATACACATTTAAAAAAACTAACACTGGCTTCTCTATTATTTTTTTATTCTATCCATTTATTTTCTTTTTATTTATTATACAATTAACAAAGCAAAAAAGGCCTCTAACACTAGCTTGCTCTATTCTTTTTCTATTCTATCTGTTTTCTTTTTATTTATTAGGCCTATATAATAAAAAAAAAAACCTTGCTACGTGTACTACGTTAAGCTGAGACTTGTTATAGCACTTGCTTATCATTGCTCTTTTGTTGATTTTGATTGCTTCCATTGTCCTCATTTGTAAGTCGCTTTGAATAAAAGTGTCTGCTAAATGACTAAATGTTTAAATTATGTTAAATTATTTTTGGACACTCGCAATAAAAAGAACATTTGTGTTTTTGTAATTAAGCAAACAAACAGGATGCGCGTTCTGTCATCTCGGTTCTCGGTTTCCTTTCCGTGAAATTGTTTGCGGATCGCCGCGCCTCACATCTGTTTTATATCTGTTAATTATTTATGTCAGATATATTTTGCATATTTATACCTTTTCTACATAGATTATGATTAGGATGTATTTTATTTTTATGGAAACAAATTTTGTTATTTTTAATGTAACTTACATATATTTGCCTTACATCCTATATTTAACTTACATCCTGGCGACCCATTTTTGACCCAGGGTTTGAAAACCTAGGCTGTATAGTTAGGTCCATGCAGAAACTTGTGAACGATGCTCTTATAGTTGTGTCATCACCGTTAAGTGACGTCATTGAATGTTCCGGGAAAACTGAAGTTGCATTGTCAGTGTCGGTCACGGCGCCTTTTAACTGCTCATTTGGATCCGGCAAAGTTTCATTTACAAATTAAGCACTGCCATATAGCATACATCAATCACCTCGTAGCAGATCTATACAGGTGGAGCTGGGGAAGGTGGAGGGTTTCTGAAGCAAGCTGCAACTGCTACAGCAAGCACTAGTCATAAATTTGAATGTTGAGTAGCGAGCTCATTGGCTACCGACACAGGAGAGAACCAATCAGCTGTGCCATGTGATAATGATCTCATTAGGTCAGATTGAGTTAGACCTATCGGACTGCGCCATCTAGAGTTTCATGCCAGAACTCTGTATTTAAGATCTGAAGAGAATCATACTGCATCATACACTGAGAGAGAGATTGAGAGACAGAGAGAGAGAGAGAGAGAGAGAGAGAGAAGTAATTTGGATAAATAAATAAATAAATAAATAAACCAAACCTTAAATTTTGAATATATATGGTAAAACTTGAAAATAAGGTTCCATTTGTTAACTATATTTAATGCATTATGTGACATTAACTAACAATGAGCAATACATTTGTCACAGTATTTATGAATCTATTAATAGCTCAGGTTTATTAATAACATTTTTTGTTTTATTTCAATAATGTATTAGTAAATGTAAGAATCGACATTAACTAAGATTAATAAATGATTTAGAAATATTTTTTTTTACTGTTAGTTTAGGTTAACTAATGTACTTAACTAATGTTAACAAATGGAACCTATTGTACCAAGATTACTTATTATAAAGACCAAATACCTATTAATACCTATTAAACCCACGCTAATTTTCCAGTTAGTATATTTTCTGCTCATTAACATTCTGGTGACAAGTGAAAATACTATTTAAAGCTGCAGTCCGTAAGTTTTGCCTTTTTGTCACCATCTCTGTTTGAAAACCTGCAATTGCAGCTTTTTGCGGAATTATCTTCCTTGCGTGGGTTGTGCTCCGGCGCGGTTCCAGAATCTAATCTAAAAAATCTAAAAAAAATCTAATGTTTTGAGGAGTATATGTGGCAGTCAGTCACCGCACCGGTGTGGATACCGTACTTCGCAATCACAGATTCTAGCCTACGTCTTGGAATATATGACCCAAATAAGAATGTTCACCATATAGTGTCATCTGAACAAGTAAGTAACAAGTCTGCCACATTTGTTCTGACCAACTGAGGAAAACAGCATTACAATAAATCGTGCTACCAATGGTGATTTAATCTAAAGTTAGCTCATATCACATCAAACCATGCAAATTATTATTATTGTTATACTTTATTCTCAAATTATTAATGTTAACAACATCAGCATTGCGTGACTATGAGTATGTATTAGCATGTAGATTTCAATTTCTCTACAGTCTAATCTCTAACTGTCAATACCATTCGAATTTCATATTAAGAAATTCTTTTAACCGAAAAAGCTGAACTATGCTCCCTTCGAACTGGTTGTCTTTAAAATACACATCTTGTGTAATCCCAGGCTATCTGTAATCAGAAGCAAATTTATAACTGGAATATAATTTAATTTCATTCACATGTGTTTCATAAACACATAATCCTTTCTCGATTACAATCCGCCATCAAAATGATACATTTAATTATTCTAGCTCCTGTGAGAAAAGGCTACAAACGATCGGCCACCTGCAGGATCCTCACATGCGATAGCCTAGTAGCCGGGACAACTTCTTTATGTTTACAGAAGTGACGTAATGACGCAGCAGCATGCTCAAATTTCCCGCGAAAACCTACCCGTTCCACTCAAATTAGAAAACATTATTAGAAGCTGACCGTTGTGAATCGGGCTAAAGTAAGGTGATAGTTTTGAACACTGGCTGGTTATGTACTTGCTCAAATATTGATTTCGGATCATTTATAACCAAAAAAAGTTACGGACTGCAGCTTTAAACAAACAAATAAACATTTAATTTATTTATTTGTTTGTTTGTGGTGAGAGTTATTTGCTTTTAGACAAACTGAACAACACAGGTTTAAACTGGAAACTATGATTTCCGATTGGATCAATATATAAATGCATTTTAAATGACACAGTCGCTTCACTGTTTTCATTGTAATGCTGAAGCAGAATTTCTCACGTGTTTTACTGTAGGGTCTCTCGGAGGATGTACTATGAAACTGGGCAGGGAAAGGGCTTATGTTCTGAGAGCTGAGCCAAAGATGACAGCTCAAAGCTGATGGCGATGCTGCAAAATGAAACGGTTTGCCAAGACCCTAATTTTTTCACCCCATTTCATCTTTATTCATAGCCCTCCAGTAAGTCAGAGTCAACATGATTCTCACATTTTCAACAACGCTAATGTTGCAACATCTATTAAGCTGAGTGGCATGTGATGGTCCTGAAAAGAAAAGGCAAAGTCCCTCTTAGCGGGTTTTTTTTTTAGTCTGTTCCATTTCAGTAAGTAAAGTTCCATTTCTACTTGATGTTTCTGGGTTAAAGTCATAAGGAACAACATTTATTTTACACAAACAACAAGAAAAAATAATAGTTTATATTATTCACATGCACTGAAAAAAGTGAAATTACCATGCCATTTATTTTAAAAAGTTCATTTTTATACCGGTTTAATCAATAGTTGTTGTTTGCAATTTAAAACTGTTTTGTTCAGTTTGTCTAAAAAGCATCTTTATTTAACAGATTAAAGGAAACAATTTTGTTTAAGTAGTCTTGATACCAGAGTGCTGATGTGCAAAACACATGGCTAGCTTTACTGACAGCAGAAATTATTATGGGGTTTGTTAATTTTTCTGGTGTTTTTCTTTTTCCTTTGTTTAGTACATTTACATTACATTTACATTTAGTCATTTAGCAGACGCTTTTATCCTAAGCGACTTACAAATGAGATAATAATAATAATTAATAGTACATTAAAAAAAGCTGCAAATGATGTACATTTTAAAAAGACATTGAGATAAAAAATGAAGAATAATTTTGAAATTGTCTTATAAATGAAATATGTCTTAAAAAAGAAACAAAATCTTCTAGTGAAAATTGCACTTTCATATTATAGATACGCTGTTGTTTGTGGTGAAATTCAGTTGTAAAAATACAAAAGATTATTAAGGTTTGAACCAATACCATAAAAAAAATGCATTTGGCTAGTACATTTTCAGTATTATTTTTTTTTTTAACTCTAATTGATTTATTATATAGTAAAATCAATTCATGCTTCAGTAAGTGTTTTATTTATTTATTTATTCACTTATTTACTCACTTACTTACATTAATAACCTTGACAATAATACAGTCAAACCAAAAATTATTCAGAAACCATATATAATTTTTGATTTTTTTTTTTACTTTTTTACTATTTTTTTACACTTTAGGTGTCTGAATAAATTTTGGTTTGACTGTATATACAATAACACAACGAGAACATTTCTTTTTGTCACTAACTGTTGTTTGGCTTTTATTATTAACTGAGTAACTTAATTTAGTTACTAAAAACTCACAGTTCATAATTTTTAAGTAATTTCGGTCACACTATTTTAAGGTCAATTTCTCACTACTAATAAACCATTAACTATGACTTTTGCCTCAATAAACTCCTAATTTGCTGCTTATTAATATGTAGTAATGTAGTTGTTAAGTTTAGGTATTGGGCAGGATTAAGGATGTAGAATATGGTCATGCAGGATACATGCTTTATAAGTACCAATAAAAAGCCCATATGTTAATAATAGGCATGTTAATAAGCAACTAGTTAATAGTGAGAATTGGTCCTTATACTAAAGTGTTACCGTAATTCAGTGGTTGAGTTGTTAACAGTGCAATCAGTCCACAGACTGGTTTCAAACATGAAATTCCCTGATATTATCAAAAATAATCACCTTCCCAGAGTCATCAAACAATTATATCTGCTTCTTCTCACTTGACTTTCACCTGTATTGTGCTGTTACACCAACATACACGTTTCACGACATGCTTTCAGAGCTCAGTGAGAACATTATGACCTTGAGGGATAAAAAGATGATTTTACATCTGCTGGTGTCGCTGTTGGACAGTGTTACTGAAAACGACTCATTTACACATTGTTTGGTGCATATTTCTTTTGCCTCATTTCTGTAGTTATTTTCTCATCCATTTTTTTGGAAGATGCACTTGACAGCTTTTCCTCTGCAGAGAAAATGCCCCTGATTAATCCGCTGGAACACATACAGTAAAAAAGACAGAGCACAAGAAGGGAAAGAGCGATACAGAGAGTCATAGAAAGGAAAAGAAGAGGGGAGCTTATCTAAACTCAGCCCAGGGTCAAAATGCTCCTAAACTCACAGAACTCCACATCGCACTTATCTGTGTTTACTAAGCAGAGAGATGCAGAGATAAGTGATTCACGAGGCTGCTTCCGCTGTATCAGAGCGGTTACAGTGCTTAATGCTGTTTTTGATGGAGTTTAATTAGCTTGGCTTTGCAAAGTCAACATACTGTTATTTAATCCTTTTATGGGACCAAAATGTTCAAATGTAACTTCTAGTGCTTTCAGATGATCACATTTTCCATCTACCTATCTACGTGACTTGTTGCATGCAACATTACTGCAGGCAGTGCTCCCTCACCAACCCTTTCACAGATGAGAGAAAGCAAAATGGATAAATTGGGCTGTCCCACTGAGAACACTGCCCTCGCAAACGGACAAATGGGACAGAAAGTGAATTGGTATGCTGGTTTATATGAGGCTTGGTCTGAGCACACTAAAGGTCACAGTCTGAAAGGCTTGCAAATACACACACACACACACACACACACACACAAGCTCAAAATTAATGTTGGTAGAGAAATACTGGCACTACTGGAACTCAGGGTTAATTCAGATCAAGTCTGAAGGGACAGTGACATTGAGAAATCTCATTTGATTTTTTAAATTGTATTGATTGATTGATTCCCTCCCAGCAAATTATTAGTGAAAAATGCTGAGTGCTAACCTCATGCTATTAAACTAAATATTAAAAGTGTGTTGTTTTTTTTTTTGTCTTTTCTTTTCTTTTCTTTTTGACCCTTGATTTAATACTGTTAATTAATTCATATAAATAAATAAATGAATAAATAAATAAATATTTATTCAACAGATCATGTCAAAATAATGATAATTTTGTACAGTTTTGATTTTTGGATACAGTCAAGAATATCAAGACCACTGAGGTGGGACAGGCTGAAGTGACCAACATAATACACATACAATTATTCTTAAAATAATAATAAAAACAAATACAAATAAATAAATGAATAATAATACTAATACTAATACTAATACTAATACTAATACTAATACTACTACTACTACTACTAATAATAATAATAATAATAATGCTTAAAATGATTTAGAAATGGTAACGGACACCAAAGTGTACCTTACTGATAGAAAGTAGCTACATAATGAACTAATCCTGTGGACACTCTGCTACACCTGTGTGAACTTGAGGGGAACTGACGTCATACATCCATTAAAAATCACTGGCAGCTGGTTAAAAGTCATTGCAAGAATGGCTCAGAAAATATAAATAATATGCATTCATTTGTGGGTGTTCAAATAGTAAATATAAAATATAACAGATGCATAATACTGTAGATAGATGAACTTTTTCAGTTATATTTGAGTTCTGAATTTTAAATTGTAAACGTAATTATTAATAGCCGTCCATACAAAAGTAATAACCGTCATCTGCAAAATCCATTTAATACTTTAGTGTATTATCTGAGAACAGAAAAGGGTCTAAGCTGTCATTTTATTGACGTTTAAAACCCTCGCTCCTGCTGTTTGGTTAACTTTAATCATGTCAGAAGATTTAGTATTTGCACATTTTTTGTCGTTTATTAGTCATTAGTGTTTATTTTTTTTATTTTTTTTACATTTTGTATGTCTCCTTATCTGACACATTCATTTCAGTTCATGTTCAATTTTTTCTTTGCTACCTAGTAGGCCACTGTAGATGACACTGAACAAAAAATGTACGATTGAAAATATACTTAGAACTTTTTTTTAAAGATTTTTATGAACCATGTAAGGTTGAACTGGATCCCCATTGTTTTCCAATTTTCTTCGCGCTGGTATCAGCAAACACAGACGCCGCGGCCAAGCAAATAATGAAAGCTGGGGGTGCGCCGTCTTCTGCCTTTACCTGGCAGCAGAGCAGCGAAAGGAGAATTACAGCTCAGTGTGTGTACATGTGTGTTCGTGTCCCCACCGTGTGTGTGTTTGCTGGTGAAATGTAGCGGCGAGTCTTGCTCTGGACTGTTACCAAGGGCCGAGGGTTCAGGATAATGAAAGCACCATAGTGACATGTTCTATACTCACTTTTGTACTCAAGGTGAAATCCAGCCGCGACGACACTGATATCTGTATGGAAGTGCAGGTAAAGCTGGTTGGAGGTGCTGTTCAACAAGGCTGGAGCTGTTGTACCTGGAAGATAACACCAGAAAGGGGCATGAGCAGGAAAAGGGCTGGAGTTATCACACACAAGGACAGTGTGTTCTCATTCCAGCGCTCACACACACACACACACACACACACACAGTAGCTAAATGATGAGTGCGTGCACACATGCAGGAACAAAAGGGCAAAGGGAGATAAGCAGCTGTTAATCACGTATCGCTCCTGTGAAAGACTCGCCCGGTTTGGACATCAGCCAAATGAAACGGAGTCAAGTAAAAAGGGACGGCAAAAAGGAAATGTTTGACAGGCGTTAGTCATTGAAGTGTGTCGCTATCCTTCTGAGCTCTCAGGGGGGAACTTTCATCACAGCTCAGAGGGAAGAGTCACTTATCATCAGACTAAAAAGCAAAACAGCTACTGCCACTCTGGATTCAAAGCAGAGGACTTTCCTTCTGCTTATACATATATGGACATAACCAATACAGAGTGTGACATATTTAATACATGGAGAAAAATGTCATGAATACTATATAACATCCTTAAAGTCAACATGAAATGCGACAATTCATAATGCGACAGATTTTCGAGTGAAACGGGGGAGAAAAACTGTTGGTCGGGACTTGATTTTATCCATGGAATTGGTTGGATTGTGAAAAATGGGCATTATGTATTAGAATAGAGTCAGGCAATTGGAAGGGCAGATCAAGGAGTGAACTGATAAATTGTTCACTGTAAAAAAAAAAAAATTTTAAAAAGCTGTGGTTCGGTAAAAATTCATCCAAAACTCAAAACACATTTATAGAGCAACCTGTACATTTTGTGGAAACTATGAAGAAACACCAATTAACAGGTTTTTACTTTAGAATTTTTTTTATAGTTTTATACAGTTAATATTACAATCATTTCACATTAAGACCAGAAATGTAAAATTTTGATTTCATGTTGACTTTAATATGGAACATATTTTCAATAATGTCATATTTTATTACTCTTAGCCTACACTTTTTTTTCACATTGATAATTTTTGAAAATGTTTCTTAGCACCAAAATAGTTGTAATTAACTATTTTCTACCTCAACATACAGAATTCAACAGGCTGTATCATTAAGACATGCCTGCCAAGTTGCTGAACACTGAACAGGCACTGATAAGTAAATGTGGGCGGACATGTGTTAAAGAAATGTTCTGGGTTCAATACAAGTTGTGCTCCACTGACATGTGGCCTGATATCAATTACCACACAAATAATACTGAGTCGTCCCTCAGTTTGAAAAAATAAAAAATATTAATAAAATCACAGTGGATGTTTATGATGCAAAATACTGCACCAGGTTAAATTTTAAAATGCATACTGTTTGGAAAGAATCGCAACAAGGCCGGCAGTGAAGATGGATAGTGAGCAGTTCCTGTGTTTAGTGTTCTCTGATAAATGGCATGCAATACAAACATCTGGATGGTACTGGTTAAGTAGGTTAAGCTATTTATCAGAGAGTATATCTGCATTTTAATTCCATTTTTTCTGCACTGATTGATCTGAACAGGCAATGTGGATATTGCATTAATGTTTGTGACAAATTCATTTCAAATTAGAACAGGCCGTCAGGCAAAAAAAAAAAAAAAAAAATTTGGCAGCATTTTACAATAAAGTCCCATTAACACATTAACTAACATTAACTAACAATGAGCAAAACATTTGTTACATTATTTAATTATAATCTGTGTTAATGTTAATAAAATACAAATATTTTTGATCAACTTTTGATTTTAATAATGCAGTAGTAAATGATGAAATTAACATGAACTAAGATTAATAACTCTTTGGAAGTATTTTTCATTGCCAGTTCATGTTAATTAATGTATTTAACTAATGTTAACAAATTAAACCTTATTGCAAAGTGTTACCGTCTCACTTAGGGCAACATTACAGGCTGCATGCGCAAACCAATGCATTTGAAGAATGTGATTTATAATGTTAAAAACTGGACAACTGCATCTCACAACACTACGGTAATACATGAAGTTGAGTTCTGGCATAAAAATGAACATTTCTGCAATGCATCACATCAGAATCCAACATCTCAGGTTCCTGCAGGCTTCCCAGCTTCTTTTCTCCTTTGAGCTTATTTGCTTTTACCCATATTCTTTTTTATCTCCCTGTGGGAATGAAGGTACAATTCAAATACTGTGTAAAAGTAAATAAGCTTGGAGTAAACAAGATTGTAAAAAGAATCAACAAATACTGTTTATAGTATTCAGTGCCTTAGTACGCCTCCGCATAGCAACTCGGGATGAATGCTTAAATACACCCACATAGCCATGGCATGCGCTTAGAGAACTGTTTAGTTTGAGAAGAAAGATTTCTTTCAAACTCGCATCTGTAGCATTTATTCATACATGGCTTGTGTATATATTTACACAAATGCCCAAAATGGTGTCATGCAGTTGCCAGGAAATGGTTCCCCGGCATCTTTTGCATTTAAAACATCCTGCCATTCTGACTGCTAATACTCCAGTCGATCCAAGTCCAAGTACATTAGACTGATGACCGAAGCCTGAAAAATGCTCCTTTGCGCTTGAATGATTTGACTAATCATTTTTGGATGAAGTTTGACAGCTCCGTAGAGCTCATCCAGTGTCCAGCTATTCAGCAGTCTATCATCTCTATTAGGGACAAGGCAATCTAGAGAGGATCTTAAAACGCTCAGACGAGACTCGGATGAGCTTAAATGGACTTTGCCAGACAGAATATGTTACATTTACAGTACTGAATCACATTGGATGGCAAATAGGACAAGGAGTGATGCATCCTCACAGATTAGGGGATTTGAGAAGAAGGATTCTTTGTGAAATACATGCCCACGATTGGATTGAACCACTACAGACCGATATTGCTGCTAAGCTGAGCACTGATGTTGCTCCCGCACAGATGGGAAAAAAAAAAACTGCAAGCAGAAGGCAGACTAAAAAATGTGTGGGGTAAAAGTGAGATGAACAGGCAGCGTTTGAACTGGAGTCCAACCACATGTCCATTCATTTTCAATGTGCAACTGAAGCTGTGGGAGATATGCTTGGGTTAATACAAAATAATTGTCAACTATACAATCATATTACACATAGTAATAATTATGTTTTGATTTTTTATATATATATTGTTGCGAATATATATATTAGTGCTGGGCAGTACGACCAAAAATTTATATCACAGTATTTTTCAAAATTATACCGGTTTCACGGTACATGACGGTATTTTTTTTTTCATGCATGACCGGGTGTTAACCATATTTTCTACTGATTGAGAGAGGAAATACTGCAGTATGTTGACTTAGAATGCCCTATTTTACATGATGAGTGAATATAATATATATAATATATAGCGTTCGCGGGACAGCACTGGCGAAATCTTCCAACTGAACCATAGCTAAGGTTTATCCAAAAAAGTCGCTAGGTTTGTCAGTATGAATATTCTATGGAAAAAAGCCACTAAAAGGGTCTGAAAGTTGCTAAATCTAGTGCTAAAGTCGTGTGTGTGTGAGACGCGGGAGCTGATGGCACCGTGCGGGGGATATTTGTGGCGGTCAATGTGGATATTGTGGATGAGTTCTTCTGTGTCATCATGTTCTATTAGTTCTACAGCTTCAGTTTTGGAACTTTCACGCTTAGTAACACATACAGCTGTTCCCTCACCACAGTGCAACAGTGAAAAGGGACCCCTTTCAAACAGTGTTGCATTCCGAACGTTGTTTAAGCAACATACACCGGTATGTATATGCACCGGTATGTACCGGTATATATATACGGTCATGCAGAATAAGGCATTGATATGTGCTTTATAAGCACTAATAAACAGCCAATATGCTAGTAATATGCATGCTAATAAGCAACTAATTAATAGCTAAAATTTGGTCCTTAAAATAAAGTGTTACCATATATATACGTATATTTATATACACACACACAGACTAACAGTCAAAGGTTTAGATTAAATTCATATTTTTGAATGTTTTTGAAATATCTTATGCTCTTATATGTCTCTTATGCGCACCAAGGCTACTTTTTTGATTAAAAATACAGTAAAAGCTGCATTATTGTGCAATATTATTACAATTTAAAATAACTATTCTCTATTTTAATGTTTTAAAATGTAATTTATTTCTGTGATGCAAAGCTCAGTTTTCTTCTGAATCATTTCAATATGCTGATTTGGTGCTAACTTATTATTCATTATTATTGGTTATTAATATTAATCATTAATAAATTATTAATTATTAATAAAGCTCTTATTATTAAGTTTATTTAGTTAAATAAATGCTGCCTTGGTGAGCATAAGAGTCTTCCTTACAAAAACAAAACAAAACATGACAACATCTTATAAATCTATGCTTATATACGTATGTATATGATTGTATATATGATAAGTATATGATTCTGCTAAATAGGCCGAAAGGGGCTGGGAACATTGCTGAACACTTGGAGATGGCACCATCATTTTTGGGAAATAAAAAGCCTCTTTTGGGGAAATAGTGATTATAGTCTGATCTCGAGCATTTTTCCTCTTCAGAATCATAACTTGCAGTCAGAATTAGGTAAACAATGACAGTGATATCTTTTAAAGACACACAAAAAATGCATGCAGTTGTAATTAAATTGGTATTTGTTGAGCCGCAATTAATCCCGAATGATGAAAAGTGTGGGGAGACAGAAACACAAAACATATCTGACAGTTTAATTAAGGGTATTATCCTAATGGATTTGTGACTAGAGGAAGAATGAAACGGCCGATTGTGATGGGCGAGTGTGCGGGGGATATAAAAGGCGAACACGCAGGCGACAGGAGAGCGAAGAGTGCATTTTAATGGGCAGCCAAACACCATGCCTAATGACACTGGCTCCTGATTCCCTGCCATGTCTTACCAATGCTCACAAATGACTCCGGGCTTCTATAATTTGGACCATTTAGATCTAAATGAGGGGAAATTACCGTTTTATCATCAAATTCAATCATAGACTGGCATCAGGTGTCTCGGGAGACCGGGTGAAGATGGTTTAGCATTTAAAGAGCTTCTTGGCTTTTGAGAATATGGCTTGGGGAAGGTGAGGAGTGCTAGACAGTGTGAAGTGCCACTGAACACATGCCTTAGAGCAGACGGAGCTCCCTGGCTGGGTGACCTTTCACCAGCATGATAGTGTGGCACAGAGTTCATTACAGCCGTGTTGAAAGTGTAGCTAGAGGCCTGGCCACGGTTCTGTCTACTGGGAGAGTCCCCAAAAAGGTTAAGCCTCCTCTCTCAAAGGAAGATCTTGCCCCTCTTCCTAATCCTGCTGTGCGGCTTTTCTGTATGTAATTTAATTTATGTCATTTTTTTTTTTTCCTTTTTTGAATATCTTGATCTAGTCTGTTTTTGATTCTAATTATATACTTTGTATATTTGAATGTATAGTTGTTAAAACTGTTTGGGTAGTTGGTGCATAACGTGCCTTTTTGGGCTTTTGTGATTTTTTTTTATTTTATTTTTTTATCAATATCATGTTTCTAGGTTAACATTTATATGGATGTTTTAGGGAAATCTTAGGTCATGTAACTGGTAACTATTTTTTTTGTCACCATCCTTAATGTTAATTTTAAATGCTGGTGATTTTTACATATGCAGCCTCTCAGTAATATTAAATAAATATAATGTTACAGATATCAACTTTCCAAAAGTATTACATGCCAACAATGAATTACTAAATCAATAAATAATAAAAAAACAAACAAAGAAAAGAAAGCTAAGCTACACATTAAAATGCAAGCGGTAATGATGGCGAGTATTCATAATACTCGTAACATTTAATCTTTCAATTTGAAACATTCAGCTTTTTGGTCCAGAACATTGTGATAATGAATTGGGATGAAATAAATGTGGCTGGTGGTTTTCCAACTGGAACCCAAAAGGCTGTAAGAATTGATACTGTTAATCAACCAAATGTAAAATGAGGGCATTCATCTGTTATGTAAGGGATGGCACATGGACAGCCTTCCAGGACTGGAGCTAATTGCAGCACTTCCAAGAATCCAGGGGCATAAAACTAGTGGCGGGGACTGGCTCTCAGTTTTATTGCAATATGAAACTGTAATGAGCTATAAAGAACTACATGATATGCAAATGAGCTTTAGGAGAACTTCTGTAAATCAGATGCCGAATCACTCCAACAGACTATTATTGAAATAAGCAATTAAAAGGGGATTAATAAAGACAATACGAACCTGAAAAGCTCCCGAGCTTTGGAGCTGCCATATCTCCACCGTCATAGATTTCTAACGAGTCCCAGTTATGCTCGGTGGCAAAGCTCATGACTTGGATCTGCCAAGAAAATGGAGATACACATTATGAAATGACAAAATTCTGCACAATTAAAATTAACTCATGTAATGGCCACGGTTTTGCAGTATTGCTTATAAACGTAGCCAAGGTTTCTTTAATCAAAAACAGTCATTTTGTTTTATGCAACAATTCCCCACCCCCTATCTGAACCTAACCTTTGTGCTACTGTACCTTAAACACATCAATATGTAAATTACTTTATAGGTGGATAGGTGTTGATATTTAAATGTTGGCAATGTCTACTCATGGATATGCTAATGTCATTACTATTTCTGATTTTTTTATTTTTTTATTGATTGATTAGTATTGATAGTCTGCTTGAACCGTGGAGATTGTTTGGAGAAAAAATGTCAATCTTTCTATAGTACCAGTAGTTCAGAGCACCACTTTAAACGCTGAAATGGCAGTTTCTATGACTGTACGAAGCATACAAATATGAGGTATGGGATTGGGTGTCTGTTGTCGAGCATCTAACATTCTGACATTGTATTGTTTCGAACTACACACGTTTGGTACAACAATGCAGAGTTAACAGCTGCGGCAGACGGAGACACTGAAGAGGGACTTCAGGAGCCTGATCGAGACGGTGTGCCGCACATCGCCCGCAACGACGATCATCGTGTCAGGACCGCTTCCCACGTATCGACGTGGACACGAAAGGTTCAGTAGACTTTTTGCTTTAAATGAATGGTTATTGTCATGGTGTGAAGAACAGAAACTGCTCTTTGTTAATAATTGGAATCTTTTCTGGGAGCGTCCTAGGCTTTTTCGCTCTGATGGCCTGCACCCCAGCAGAGTCGGAGCGGAACTCATGTCGGACAACATCTCCAGGACGCTGCGCTCCATATGAATAGTAAGTCAAATCTCAAATAACTGCCCTGATGACTTTTGTTCTACGCGCTTAAATGATAGAAGTACTTGCGCTGTACAGTCTATAAAGACTGTGTCTGTTCCCCGAATTGTGAGGTCAAAATATAAATTTAATGCAGGATCTAGAAAAAAAACTGATCGTGATTAAACCAGAAAAATGTAAAACAAATGAACAAAAACAATTTTTAAAGTTTGGGCTCCTAAAGGCCGCACTATAGCACAGAAACTGCACTTGTTAAAATTACAAATGACTTGCTTCTTGCGTCAGACCAAGGCTGCATCTCATTGCTAGTTTTACTTGATCTTAGTGCTGCGTTCGACACTATAGATCATGACATACTCATAGATCGATTACAAAACTATACAGGTATTCAAGGGCAGGCTTTAAGATGGTTTAAATCCTACCTGTCCGATCCTGCAGCATGATCAAATTGTTTTGAAGTGATAACATAATATTCTGCAAGTAATTGTGCCAAAATTAGGCTTTCTTAATTGAAACTCTGATCCTGTAAATCATACTTTGTGTGAAAAGGAATAAAAGTTGTCAGAGTTGTACTGCCTCTAGTGTATATTTCCAACTGGAAACTGCGTATAGGTACGTGTTTTTGCAGAAATGTAGGTATAGGTACGTATTTCCAATGAGCCTGGGGAGCAACAATGCATACAATGCCACAATCAATATTTTTCTGATTTATCTTAACTTTCATTTATGGGCATGCTCTACATTTGGAATCTCTTTTGGATCTTTTACATAAAACAAACAGTAGTTTGAACAGCATAAAGCACATTATACAATGCTAAATTTAACCTGTGTAATTCACTCCCTTGCTGCATGCAAAGGAATCTTTTCCATCTTATCATTTCAGCAGGTGTAACTTTACTGCATTTGATGAGTTCGCACGTGGCTCTTTTGTACTTGCCTGGATACCAGCTCCTTCGGTAACAATGATTTTCCACACACAGTTCAGGCTGTTCCCATAAGGCTCCGGGAACCCGGGGGAGAGGATGGTACCTCTCCTTTCTGTCAGATTCCCACTGCATGGGACTGTGGAGCAAGACAGAGGCAAAATGAGCTCATGCTGAGGATGGAACAGCACAAGTGCCTGAACTGAGTCCTGTGAGAAAGGCAGCAGACTCTTTTGACACAAGAGGCGATTACGCCTGGTTTTGTGGTCCAGGGTCACATATATATCTATGAGTGGTAGGTTTAGGGGTAGGGTTATTATGTCTGTGGGAAGCCCTTATAAAACATGGAAACCTACGTGTGTGTATGTAATAACATGCACCTATGAATTGTTCAAAGTAAGGCCAGGGACATGCATTTAAAAAGGTCAACTTTGATTGTTGACTTATGAATAATTTGTTCAGCTTCTACAGCTATAAGGCTTTACAAAAGCAGTGACATAAGATTGTTTCTTGGGAAATATAAAGTGTTCCCAGAAAGACATTTCTCATGCAGAGAATGTATGTTTTAGCAGGGTGATTGTAATTGTATTGTTGATTTTATCATTGTATATAAATACAATGATAAAAATGGTATCCGGTACTGGTATTACTATCCTTGTGCAGAGATTTGGTCCCCATAATGTAGGGAATACACACACACACACACACACACATTCACCCAATCCCTAGCCTGATTTCTGAACCTCACACTTTGAAGAAGTAGAAATATGAGAGGTTGTGTTCAAGGCATTTCACTTCAGAATACTTAAAAATGTAAGGAACCACAAAATGGGATTTGCTGAAGCTCTGTGAAATCAAAACTGACATTTTAATGCACATTCCTGGAGTGATTCCTGTTCAGACGACATTAATTCCCATTTTTAACCACTCCTCTCCAACTACCTGACACATTCTGTTATGTGTTTTTCTCAATGAATATCTTGTTTCACTTTGAATGAAATTAATATACCAGATTACACAATATGGAAGCAAAATGGGTAGGGCAAACTATTTCATGTGGCCCGGTATGTCATGCAAATCAATTCCTTTCTATTGATGGGCGTTTACAAATTGCAATTATTCCATTTAATTAAAGCAGATGTTTTTCCAACATCTGATTTTTGTGGAGGTTTCTTAAAAGCATGAAGGAAACTTTTTTTTTTTTTCTGCAGCTCCAGAGCAATTACTTACATTACATTTTTGGCTTCAGCTCTCTCCATTCTGGTATTATGGACTGATCTCCTTGTTTAGAGAAAATTGCTTCCAAATGGTGTTTCATGCTGACTTTAATTCATGGATGAAAGAGTTGAATGAGGAACGACTTTTATGTTGCGATTAAAAAAGCTAAATATATTAATTTCTATTAATATTTAATAGATATCTACCGTTCAGTTTGTAATTCCTATGAAAAACAGGGAACTGCGATTTGAAAGCAGAGTGAAATGAGGACGTGCCTTGGGAATGATAAAATCGTGACAGCACTATAGAATACGGCAACAGCTAAATGCTCAGTATTAAAGCCTGGAGGTTACGGCTTTGAACTGAAGGCTGTGGCCCAGAGGCCCTTGGATTCAGCTTCTCAGCCCCTTGAGGATGGCAGTATAGAAGGAAATATTAACTAGAGTCCTGACATTTTAAATCCTCATAGAGGCCATCACCATTCCGTCCTCCAGCAGGATTCTTAACCCTTATTAGCTACCTCAAGGTTAGTAGAGACCACGGGAAGCTCGCACATTTACATTCTCTAAGGACTGGAGAAAATGCAGGGCTATAAATCAACATTTGAATGATGGTACCTGTTAGCAAGCATATAAAAGTCAAATGGAATTTGTACTGTCTGTGTTGCTCTATTTCTAACGCTCAGTCACACTGAATTGTTTAGTCCTGAATAAAACATGACTAGTGTGCATCTTCCTAGGATAAATCCAGGCTAGCTTACCTATACAATTCGGGATGGTGTCATTCCACTGCGCCAGAGCGTTAGGAACCGCGTGACACTTGATGGCTTTGGATCCCTGGAGAAGGTATCCAGGGTTGCACTCGAAACGAACAATGGAGCCAGCTGAGAAATCGGACCCGATCCGCCTGCCGTATCTGGGCTCTGGGATGGAGCTGCACTGTGTATCACTGGTGCGTGGAACCGCTAGTGGACAAGAAACAGATCTCTAATCAAAATGGAGGCTTGGAAACACACCGGCTCTGTTTCAAAACCCAGTAAGCTGCCTTTACACTCTTACTAAACAAATCAAACAAATGCTGTTCTTTTTAACTTTCTCTTCAGCAAAAAATCCCAAAAAATATGTAACATGGTTTCCATAAAAACAATGCTAATATTTGACAAGTTTCCATTTTTTAACATTACTTAATTACGTTTGTTCGTGTGAGCTGAAACAATGAAAAATAATTCTAACTTTCATAGTTCATGTTCATTTCAACATTCATTAATACGTTGTAGCTGTATTTTTGTTAACTAACGTTAACTAAGATTACTACTAACTAATTAATTGAACTGAATCAATTTAAAGAGAGGTAACACTTTAGTTTAGGCACCAATTCTCACTGTTAACTAGTCACGTATTAGTATGCATATTACTAGCATATTGGCTGTTTATACGTACTTATAAAGCACATATTAATGCCTTATTCTGCATAACCATATTTAAGATCCCTTAATCTACCCCATACATAAACTTAACAACTACATTACTAACTATTAATAAGTAGCAAATTAGGAGTTTACTGAGGCAAAATTCATAATTAATAGTTAGGTAATAATGAGAATTGGTCCGCAAACTAAAGCGTGATCAAAAGATACATAAACAAATAATTCACAACTCACAGAAGTCTCGACTCGAATAATCGAATACCATTTTTCCATTACCATGCTGCTAAAATAATGTCCATTTCTACTTTTGATTACGTAAAAACAAATACCTTTTTTTTTTACTGAACTTTTCCATTTGTAATGAATTAAAAGCAAGTTGTCTTTATAATAGCACCAATGTAGCTTTTGAACACATTTGTAGCCATTGTATGGTTTCCAGTGCAGTGGTGTACACTGTGACTACTTTAGCACTCTTTTTATAGAAACCCCACATATATATATTTATCTAGCACATTTGTATGAGCGTCTTCATGACCCTAGCACAGAGAACTTTGCTGGTTTTGCTGTTTTTGCTTTGCGAACATTGTAGCAACTTGGTTCTATTTTTTTCTCCTGTTTGTGCCTTAACTTTCATCTGACGGCTGTGAATATATAGGAAGAGGCTGGTGGGACCATCCACCATCACCTGGATGCCTCCATGAGCCAAATGAACTGTCCTAACTGTCAGAGAACATTTCTCATACACCCGCTGTTCTCTCTGTGCCCATTGCTGTACACTATAAAACGCCGAGGAGAGATATAAAGAGACATAGCAGGCTTGCTGCGGTCTGCGCTGTGTGCGTGTGTGCGTACGCTGATGCAGTCATGAAAGATTCCTATTGTATCTTTTTATAAGGCAGCTGATAAAGGGAGTTAAAAAGTGTCATTTATACAGTAATTTACGACATCTTTTAAAACAAGGGGAAAACACCTTGCATGTCCTGTCCCACGCTGATGCTGTCTGGGGAGTTTGACACGCCAGGGGTCACTTAAAGGAACGGTTCACCTAAACATAATTTACTCACTCCAGTGTCACCCCCAAAAATAATATACCCAATTAATGTTAGTAACTAACATTAACTAACAATGAGTAATACATTCGTAACAGTATTTATTTATCTTAACATTAACGTTAGTTATTAAAACACAGCTGTTCATTGTTAGTCCAAGTTAGCTCAGGTCCATTAACTAACATTAATAGAAAATATACTTTTAATTTTAATGTATTAGGAACTGTTAAAATCAACATTAACTAAGATTAATAAATGCTTTAGAGATATTTGTCATTGCTAGTTTATGTTAACTAATGTAGTCAACTAATATTAACAAATGGGACATTTAATTGGGTGTAACACTTTAGTTTAAGGATCAGTTCTCAGTATAAACTAGTTTCTTATTAGCATGCATATTACTAGCATAAGGCTGTTTATTAGTACTTACAAAGCCTTATTTTTAACACTTCCGTATAGGGACCAATTCTCACTATTAACTAGTTGCTTATTAGCATGCCTATTATTAGCATATTGGCTGTTTATTAGCACTTATAAAGCACATATTCTGCATGACCATATTCTACATCCCTAATCCTACCCAATACCTAAACCTAGCAAATACCTTACTAACTATTAATAAGCAGCAAATTAGGAGTTTATTGAAGTCGTAGTTAATGGTTTGTTAATAGCGAGAATTGGACCTTAAAATAAAGTCTGACCACCTTATTCATATGAAATATTACATACAGTAGCTCTGAAATCAAACTAAAGTAATAAAAGGAAGAAAAAAACTGCAAGGCAACTCTCAAAATACTCATGAGAATAGCACAGAAATCGTTCTCCCATTCGGCTCTACTCAGAGCTAAATGCATTACAAATTATATCAAATTCGAGCCCCTTTCTTCATTTGACTCTATTGTGTATTGGTTATGACATTGTGATTGTGGCTGTTAACTTCTCTGTGTGAAATACAAAGGCTATTTCCCAAAGTAAGCGGGCTCAGGCATACTGATCAGCAGGCCGCCCCTGCACTTCAGAGGCGGGATTTCACCCTATACACGGTGCCAATATATACACACCAAAGGCTAACTGAATGTTTCGGATTTGAAGATTAAAAACAAAGCCTCGGATCTGCACAATGACCTGTTATTGACTGAAAGTTGAGTGCTCGCTTACCTTGGTAAACAAAATGGAAACCTTTGGCGGACGGGCCACTTTTTGCGCTGAATCTCAGCATGATTTGGTTTGAGGTGGCCAAGGGCAACGTTTCTCCTGCAAAAACACAATATGGCAGATGTTGAAGTCTCTTAGAGTTGCTTGTGGAGGCAAATGTGCTGCCTGCAACCAACTGTAGTCTTAAGGTAGCGTACATGACGGATGGCTTAATAACTCGGATCAGCCTCCGGGGCAAGGGTGGAGAGAGCAGGTCAGCAACAATGGGCCTAAAACTGATGGATACCCAAAGAAATACTCAAGCTGTCTGCGGCGTGTTCAGAGATGCAGTGGGTAAATTAAAAAATAAATAAATAAAAAATCCCCAACCGGGGATGACTTACAAGGATGACTTACCCTTGAGCTAAACTTTGAGCGTTCAGATCCAAAATCAAAGTGTATTTTTACAAAGTTGCATCCAAAGGAAGAAACACAGTGCTGATATAGATGACGACTGAAACACTACAGTTGAGCCTGGAGGGTTAAACACTCTAACTATGAATTGAGTGGCCTGTCAGGATTTCTGGCCCACTGCTCACAAAGCTGAGATAGAAATTATATGAATTTACAGCGCTTCCCATGGGAATATAGTGTTGCACAGCAGACCATGAAGATATACAGTATAAAAATGACATACAAACAGTTTGTGTCCAATGGCCGCCATCAATCCTGCGAAGACTGTGGAATTAGCAGTGATTTTCGTTTTCTTGCCATTTTATTACCTTTCACTCAATAATACCGACAATAATTCAGAAGGAAGCCGCAAGGATAACATTTTCTTTTTAGGAGGAATTAAACAAGCCTGGAACCAAAGGATGAAAATGACAACATAGATCCGAGATTTCAGATTTATTCTGAATACAGTGGGCCCAACAAGTATTGCACACTTAAACCTCAGTTGAAAATGTATGAATGCTAATGAATAAATAAAAGAAAGAAAACAATGATTAAAAGTCATTGCTCTATGCCATTGTGTTGTGTAATGCAATGGCATTCAGACTTTTCAGTCAGTATAATTTAATTTACTTCATAGAGCATTTTAGCGAATAAGAATTTAGGCCGTTTTGTTGGAAGAAAAAGACTGCTAACTAGCATATACTGTAAATGCTCCAAAAGCCATAGGAGACATGGAATTAATTTCATTTGGTCTTTCAGGGTGATGTACATGTCCAAATATGTATTTGTTTTATGAACATATTATTTGCAAAAGTAGACTTCATTTGCCTGAGGCTGAGTAAGTGCTTGCTCACTGTCTGTGTAAATAACAGACATTTCAAACAATAAAAAACAAATACAAAACTATTAGCAAACGCTTGCCAAAAATGACACTCCTTCTGTATTTCCCCCTCTGAAAGGAGTCATTAAACCTCACTTGAGACCTCGTTCACTGCTCAATTGTCTTTTCACAGATTTAAAAAGCCATATATGCCTGTTTGGCTCTTTTCAAAGGGTTCTGTGCATTTCAAAGCAAACTCAAAGCAACAAAACTGGGGTGAATGTAAAGCTATTACTTACCGGAATGAGACCCAGCCAGGGAGCTTAGCAGCCTAGAATTCTGATTGGGCCCATCAAATAGCTCAACGGAGTCATTCATGGCTGTCTGGAAATAGGCAAATTGCCCAAACACCACTGAGGAAACAAAATGAAACGCGCAGAGCGTGTTACTATCACCACTGCTGAGAAGAGATGCTAACAAAAGAAGTACAATGAATGAAGACACATAAATTTCCCATCGACACACATGATTCAGATCGATGGTTTTATAAGTGTTCATAATAAGCAGTCTGCACAGAAGTATGTATAGTCCCATCAAAATAGCACATTATATTCAATTCATTATAATAGAAACTGTGCCATGAAATTGTGAATAAAATGCACGTACTGTAAACCCATACCGCAGAACATCGTTTTTAATACTGCAGCAGCTCTGTTCTAAAAACAATGACCTATGTAGGAATTAAGTTGCAAATCGTGAGCTGGTTCTTTGCTTGTGATTCACAAACAAATGACTGAACTGGATCTTTTTAAATCAGTGTATTTACTGAACTTCTTTTTCAAATAACAACATATAGCTATATATTGCTAAAGAATCAAGTAATGTTTAGATCAAAGTACTATAGTGTTACCATCTTTGTACTCTTAATACCTAAAATCATGAAGCTCTGTCTGTAATGCATGCATTATGTGTATGTTTGGTCCCTTCTGGTGTCCATTCCCTCTGACCTGAGACCAGTGATGAAGCTGTGATTAAACGCGTTGGCTTGCCAGAAAGGACACATGGTTCACGCGGTAGGGCATGAGAGACCAGGGAAATCACAGAGGCATGCTGTGCATGTCAGGTGCTGGTGTGAGAGCCAGCTAAGCAGAGAGGGGTGGAAAGGGGTCACCCGGGCCACTGTGACGACTCTATTATCTCCTCTGTAATGAGATGTCGGCCCTCGCTTCATACTCAAACAGTACAGAAAAACTGAAGGGTCGCTGCTAGTGGCTCTGTAAATATCACTTTGACTGGATTTCTTTTGGCTCACAAACACTTCAACAAACTTCAAATGTTAAAGCTTTACTTACACTCCTATTTGCTATGCATGAACTGTGAGGATTTGCAATGGATTTAGTAAACTGTGGTTTTGTGCAGTTGTGGATATGGAGTATGGCCAAAAATATATTTCAGCAACCCGCATTAAATGTTATTTCTGTATATAATGGAACATTATACATATACATACTTTCATAGTATATTTCTTTCTTTCTTTCTTTCTTAATTTACATCATAGTGCTCAAATGTATTTAGCACATATTTAGGATATTTCAGGAAGGAGATTAGACTATGGTAAGTGGCGCAATATTCAATTATTAAGCCATTTCGTAACAAACTAACATTCTGAAGTCGTGGTGCATGTTACTACAAGTTATAGATACTGTTCATGATTTCTCCTGAATGTTAACAGAATTTTAGATAATGTTTGCTAATGTAGTTCTGTCTTATGAATAACCAAGTGAACATCTTGCTGAGTAAGACTACTAATATAGCTGACTGAGTTGAGATTAGATGCTAACTAACCAATTAGCTTAGCTATTGCATCATCCAAGACTGCAGGTGTTAGGTAACTACGTCTGTGTTGAAAACGATTACCTTTCACATAACTATACTTCTTCATATTACCTTAAACCAGGGAGACGTTTAATGTAAATGTGAGAACTTTGTGCATTTCCTTTGAGTTTATGTTTTTTGCTTTATTATTAATTCAATGCAATTAATTATTGATTTACACTGTGCGTGTGTGTGTGTGTGTGTGTGTGTCTTGTTTTGGCAGGAAGAGTTTTACATCAGTTTATATCTACAGGCTGAGGACTCACCACCTGAATGAAGTGGATTATTCAAGGTAATTGAGTACTCCAATAACTCTATAAACTGAACCGTGACCTTTGTAAGTAACTTTATTTACTTACCAAATTCTCCAGACACTGTGATGTGGTAGGAGCAGGTCTGGCCTGTCGTGTAGTTGAGAGGGTAATTTGGGGATACTACCACTCCCTCTGATCCAGTGTACTGCCCACCGCATGGTGCTGAAAAGAGAGAAACAACCCTAAAGGTTCATATTTTTTCTTGTTCAGTCCATATGACACAAGGTAATGAAGTCATTTTAGTACTGTATTAGATACATGATGACCAGTGAGGCTAAGGGAGCTCTCCAGATTTAAAAAAAGAGGAAGAGAAGAGGAAACTACAAGCAAAGTCATTTTTTTCATTATGATGGGTCAGATCTAAAAAAAAATTTACTTTGCTGTTGTGCTTTCAGGAGTCAATTTGTCACATGGCTGAGTGTCACAGACTCTGTTTCATGTCCACATTCTGTGTGCTTAAGGTACGTTCTAATCCCCCGATAGAGCACTTCCAAAGTCAATATTTGGCCAATATAATTTAATTTTAAATCGTAAAAGAATTAAGTGTGCTTAAGCGTATCAATCCACGGGAAGTGAACAGTGTGATTCAACAATTGCATACTACTATAATACTACACAAAGTTTGGCTAAAATAAACTATTATGAATCATTTTATGTTAATTTACATATATACTAATATATATTTTTACATAAGCACACCTAGATACATTACATATATGAAAGTACGGTAATTTGCATAATATTTATATAAAGTTAGGCTAAAATAAACTAATACAGTAATACTAAAAATAAAAGCCACATTAAATTTAATTTAAAATTTTATATAAACACACGGATATATATTATATGCATATTATACTGTATGAAAGTATGGTTATTTACATTATATTTAAATGATCATATCATTATATTTAAAACTGTTAGTGTGCATGACTCAATCGTTTGATGACGTTGTAGGGCATTACAAATGAATGAATTATGCCAAGCAAAATGAGCTTCAACAGCAATTCCCTGCTGAGTGTGTAGGGAGCAAAAATCACGATTGCAAGGAAGACCTTATTTAAAAAGAAGGCACTGTTTGAATAACAGATGAGTGGAGTAATTACCAGAGGAAATTAAAAAAAGAAAGGAAAAGCTGTTTTGACTGACACACTTTGAAACACTGCTGTTTTTAACAATAGATCACTGTACATCAAACATAAATCACATCAAAGACAGAAGTAGCTCTCCCTAATAACAACTCAACAGTAATCACAAATCAGGTCCAGTGGGTGTAGGTATTGTGTGGACTTGTACAAGCTAATGACACCAGATCATTGCATCCTGCAGCAAGCGGTTCGCTTAACTCCTAAACATTTATTAGAGCAAGAAAGTCAATAACAAGATATTGGAAAATGCACATACCTTTACACAAGCAGGGTTAATTTGCTTAGGCTTAACATTGATTGCACAAACCAGCTTTATGGTATAGCGCTACTAGAATAGCCTACAATTAACACATCATGCAAACCTCGTAGAAAGGCTATTGGAATTGCTATAGCCTCTGACAGGTATTTTAGTAAAACTGATTCGTAATTCAGGTTTGAGCGCAAAGAGGGAGTATTGAGGAGGAGCAGCCAATGAAGACTATAAATCATCTGTGTGTTGGTGCATTGGTGTGTGTTATCTCTTTATCAGGCCCATAATGGGTAGAGGCTAAATGCTTAGGTGTTTGACTGTGCATGACAAGAAATAAAACAAAAAAAAACAAGTGAAAATCAACCACAAAGGTCACCAAGAGGATTATTGACAGTGCCAAGTGTAAAAATTGGAGGCTAAGAAGGTCAGCGAAGAGTATTTGCGGAGAAATTAATCAATGTCAGTGCTTCTGTCACACCTGGCCCACAGCGTATGACCTTGTAACCAATGGACCACCTGTGATAAGCAGTGTTGGGGAACTCCACTTTTAGAAGTTATTATAAGAAATCAGACAATATTTTGGCATTTAGAGATAACAGTGCCTGCTTGGCCGATTAACAGAAGTGCTATCCACCCCCATATCAGTTCCAACATCTCAGCAAAAGTTATTTATTTTTCAGACAAAATGTGTGCAACAGGAGTTTATAAGTGTATAAATGTTACGCATCTCATTTTATCATTCATTTATATGTACATTATCTCAGTGTAATACATCCTGCTCTCTAAACGTTGGCCATCAAGAAACCAATATCAGTCGACTACACTGTAAGAAACTGACTGTGAAATTCACAGTAATTAACTGGCAGCAAGTGACAAGTAACTTACTGTATAAAAAGCACAGTAATTAACTGGCAGCTAGTGACATGTAACTTACTGTATAAAAAGCACAGTAATTAACCGGCAGCAAGTGACAAGTAACTTACTGTAGAAAAGAACTACAGTAATTTACTGGCAGCAATTAACTGCTCATCATTATAACAAACTTCTTTTATCATTCTTCACTTATTGCTAGATGTGTTGAAAACAATAAAATCTTGATGACCTTCTGGTCATTGTTTTTTTTGTTTGTTTGTTTTTTATTAAAGAATACATTTGCTTCCTGTATTCTCTATTCAAACCTAAAATGCAATTGAATTACAGTGAGGTCATATTAAATGCAGCCATTGGCTGGAAACCCAGCTGCCAGTGTAGGCTACTATGTTTTCCTTCTCTATCCCAGTGGCTGGGTTTCAGAAAACCCTAGTGTATGGCAGTACGGTGAAATCGCGTTCTGGGGGGTGAATTTATGATTATGATACTGAAGTTAAAATAATATGATAATAATTAAAAGTTTGTATGAAGCAGTATAATGGGCTGTTTTTGTACAGGTAAAATAACTGGAAGCGAAAGACACCAGAAGCCAAACACATTCAAGTTACAAATAGTCGCGCCCGCTCTCTTGTGAAAACTAAGCTGGATATAAATAATATCCATTATTTTTTTCCAGCACATCGTTGGTTACTGTAATTTTCTACAGTACATGATTGCTTGTTGTGTTTTCTACAATACATTGGTAATTACTGTGATTTTCTACGGTACATAATTAGTTATTGTGTTTTCTACAATACATTGGAAGTTACTGTGATTTTCTACAAGACATTGCTGGTTACTGTGACACACACAGTACTTCTTACATTACTGCAATTTTGACTGAAACTACGGTATTCTACTGTGAACTAGTATACAGTAATTTCCTTTGCACAAACACAGTAAATTCCTGTAGATTTCACATGAATTTTTTACAGTGTAATAATAATTGCATAACTTAAAATAGCCATTCATTTACCAGGCCTATGTGAAATCTGCAGATGCACTGCACTGACTTGAGGAAAATCTATGCAATTCTGTAGTGGAGATTTAAATATCATAAAATCTGTTAAATTGAATTGAGATTGTTAACCTCTCATTGTCAGCTAAAATCATAATACATTAGACAAAATATGTAATAAAGGAGTACGCAAGAAGCCATGGATTTGTAGAGCTAGAGGGCGCAGAACCCATGCAATCCTGCTCACTTTATTACATTGTTATTCTAAGCCACCTTGTTTTTAAGTAAGAGTGATTATTACCCATTATTACCTTAAAGGTGCAAGACTTGGGGCAAGGTTTACAAAACAAGGCAAATTAGCACAAAAGCGCAATTCCAAGAAATTGTCAAGCACAAAATGGGTTAAGACATGCTTTTTTGGGTGGTAAATAACGGCGCAGATACCAGTAAATTGACTACCACAAACCTTTGTAATCATGATGTGTGATTCATTTAAATATTCTCCTCCCATAAATTTTGCGTCTGAAAGGGAAAGACCTACAAATGCTTATGCAATAAGGTCAGCCACAAAAATGACTGTCCACGCCTTTTCATCGCTCATTTTTCACTGCGTATTTTTAGTAAATCCTGACAGTAGTATTTTAACGCCAAAAGAGGGCTTGCATTGGTACGAGCTGTTAGTAAATCTGGCCCTTGGTGTCAAATGTTTCCGGATATTTTAGCTATACAAAAACAGTCTGTTATGATACTGGATATTGCTAACTGGTATGTGTTATTATATTATTTTAACTTATTGTCATAACCGTAAGCACACAAGTAGCATAAATATTTATATAGTTTATTGCACTTTGTTATTCTTCTAGTTATTTACCTATAGCATCTAATAAATTAAAACTCTCACACATTCACAGGAAATAGCTTATCATTGGCTGAAAAATAAGGTGGAAAAAAAAACTGATACTTTCATGGCACATTGAAATCAACATGAAATTTAAATTGCGATCATCCTTTCTTCCTTATAATGCTGTATATCCGAGTTAAATGGCTTCTCGAACGAGAAGGAAAAAAACACACTTCCACACTTTAATATGTAGCCTGTATATCTCAGGCTAGTTACACCATCTAGATACGTTTGACTTTTAAGATAAAAAAGGGAAAAAATTAAAATAGCAAAAAACAAAATTTGGTCACACTAGTTTGGTCACACTTTCTAATTCAGAAAGTCCTCACTAAAATGAAATCTGATTACATAAAATGTTATTTGTAAAACACCCTTCCCGAGAGCCACTAACTGTGACGAACAGCGAAAGAGCGTGAGGTTAGAACTAAACAAGTTCTCTGTGTACCTAAACCTTGGCATAACTCAGCCATTTGCCTTTATCTCCATGCCAACATGTAACCTGGCCTTCCAAAATCACAGTCCACGCCACCTGTGATCTCTCTGCTCCGGCTGTGTTCCTTTCATCCCTCAGGTCTCAGTAACAATGATCTTCAATTGAGATTCCTCGCACATCAGTCCCATGCTAAAGCCTCTGGGCTCTGGCACCCATAGGTCTGTTGCTTCATCTGCCTCACAATGCTTCTGTGAGCTCATGAAAAGCTGGTGTCAGAATGCAGCTGAGGCTCCCCATCTTCTGCATATCAAACTCGCTCCTGTAGCTTTGATCACATCACCTTCCCTTCACACTCACCATGAGAAGACTGTCTGGAACTACACACACAGAGTTGTGTGTGTTTGTGTTCAAGTGGGCATACGCAAATACACACACACACACACTGTGCCTTTTGTTGGAAGATTTGCCTTTAGAAACCTGCAATTTCACACTGAGATGGAAGGAAATTTCAGGTTTTTGGAAATATAAATTTTTCAGGCCTGACTGTCTGTGGTTTCATTCTT